AATGGTGCCCAATTAGGTATTTTCTAGCATGCTATTCTTTGAATGGCAGGAAGTTAAATTGTTTGGTTATTATTAATTTAATTTGCACAACATTTTCTATTCAAAACCAGTGGTTGGAGGGGAAAATTATGCATATTTTTGTTGGTACTTCCTCTGACTGGTCCATTTCGTGCTCAATATTTATTCACAGATGCCTATCAAGAAGCTGTATATGTTGATCGAGATGGCAGCACAAGGGGAGTACGGTGGATCTGCAGAAGCTATCTATTCTGGCAAAGAGAAGATTAACATCTCTCATTTCTATGATTGCCTCCAGGATGTTGTCAGATTATAATTTGTGGTTGTGTTAAGCTTTTCACAGTTAGCGTGCATATCTTTATTGTGTTGAAATCTCATTTGTATAGTTCATTCCTACAGCCTTTGTTACTGTTCAGTTTTGCGGAGGCTCTCTCAATCAGTGTTGCTTGGTTGTGCGGATTGTAATTTTGAGAGGCAAGAGTTTTGTAGTCCCATGTTTTTTTCTTTACGACTATGGCATAGTTGAAACTGAGCTGCACTCAAACTGGCGTAACCTCTATTCGGGATTCTACATCATCCAATCACCTTTTATTGAGGTTTCTTATACTAAGATTTCTTTAACCATTCGATCTTGATTCTGCTGGAAATCAAGAGTCCCGAATAAGAATGTTTTCAACCGAACCAATCCAAAATCAAAATTAAAACTGAGTTGAAAATTTGTAAACTGGAAAAATGGAAACAAAAAAAATAAAAATAAAAATTAAATTGATTATATAGTTAGTCTAAAACCTTAATGGAAAGACTTTCGAAAATTTTTGAACTCATCCAAATGTAAAGGCAAAGGGGGGGGGGGGGGGTATCAATTTAGCGCTTGTTCTAATAGAGTAATAATAGTACCAAAAACAGATTGTGTACTTGACATAGCATTGCTGACTTGTTTATAAGGTTTGACTGTGTGTGTTATGCATGATTGTGTGAGCATATTTGCTATGAAAACTCATAATGTATGGAAAATGTTAACAAAAACTGTTTTTGAACCTTTGACATGAGATTTATAATTGTTGTTGAAGATTCTTTAGTTCAGAAGTAATAAGTGGGGTATTATGTCGAAGAGATTAATTTGATGTGGATATATCAAATTAGACAATCCATTTCTTGAGCCAGTCTAAATGGAAGTGGGCTCCGCCTTTTCTACGTGACTGGTGTAATTTCATTCTAAAATTACTTGTAGTTTTTTTAAAATAAATTAGTAAGTTGTAAATGCTGAATAAAATTTGTATATTTTAAAATTAAAAAAAAAACTAGAAGTTGTATGTGTCATGTAAGACTAATATTTTTAAAATTTTATGTCAGACATGACACTTGACACTGCCTCAGCTTTTTCAATTATGTATTTATTCAAAGTTGAACAATACGCACTCAAATTATTAGTATAGAAAAAGAAAAAGTTCTTCAAAGATCAAATTAAAAAGGTAATTCAATTCATTATTATTATTATCTTTTATTGTATATGTAATATGTAATCATTCACATTAAAAATATCCATAGCATAGAATGTTAATATACGCTTATTTTGTCTTGTGAATATGATATTTTATAAAAATACATTTTCTAGATGTATTTTTACCAACTAAATGTTACAATTTACCAACGCGCTATTTTAAAAAATAAGTGCGATTGTACTAAAAAATCATATATAACAATTACAAAAACGTACATTGTTTTCAATTGTTTCAATAATGTCTTGAACTACATAATTATATATGTTTTAAACATATAGAAATTGGTTTAAGAAATTAAATTTCAAATTAATTCAATAAATTAATAAAGTGACTGATTTAACATTGCCCTAACTTCCCTATACTGAGTCCTGTGTGAGCGAAATTATTCAGGTTTTTCAAATTGTTTTCATGGTGTAAATCAAAGTTGCCACCTACTTTAATGGATTCCTTTACCTTTTTATGTTCTCAAAATTTCTCGTTAAGTAAAACTATTATTGACTGTGAGAAGACAATGTTATCAGTAATCAGTTGCGCCTTAAAGATTGCCGAATTGATAGAGGATCATTAAAATCTTGATTCTTCTAGAGTTAGGTCATTTTTTATTATTTATTTACTTTAGATCTTAACCTAAACTAAACGAGAAGATTGTCTCGTAAAAGCGAATAAAAAGTGATAATGCTTACCACCCTTTCTCACCATTGATCATTTGATAAATCACAAACCACTATTAAGCCAGTTTGTTCAAATCTTCTTTGGCTAGAACAGGGAGCTTTATTAGAAGAAAATCAATTTTTCCAAAATGTGTTAAGAGACACAACAAAAACTTATATATATATATATATATGTGTGTGTGTTAAGAGACACAACAAAAACTTATATATATATATGTATATATATATATAATTTAATTTATTGATAGTATTAAATGATATAATTTTTAATAAAATTAATATTTTTTATTTTATGTTTTCTTAGACATATATTAACAAAATTGAAAGAATATCATATTTTAATTTAAAAAATTATCACCTCAAATTCAAAGGATTGCTGCAGTGATTTGTCATGTCACGTTCACATGTGTAGAAGTAAGAAATTATGCATCGTGTGCAAATTTCTCTAACTATATATATATATATATATAATCTCAAGTTGCTTTAAACGACAAGATACAGTAATAAAACATAATACAAACATATTCTCAAAAACTAAGTTCATGGTCGTTTACTTTTTTAAATGTTTTTTTATTTTTAAAAATTTTGTCAACTTAATCAGATTGAACGAGATTAATTATTTTTTAACACATCACTAAATAATCAAGGTACAAAAATTAATTCATTTTAAACTAAACTTATGATGAGCTAATTAAATCATCCAATTCATTTAAGAGGTTTAAGTGACACATACTTTATTCTTTGTAAATAAAATATTAAATTTAAATCTTATAATAAAAAAGTAAATATATACAAATAAAACTAACTTTACTGTACTAAAAATATTATCAACTTAAACAATAATACACCTCATAAAAGATACGATAATTCATAAAAATATAAAATCAGCCAATCAATTACATCATCTTGAGGGCTTTGTATTGCTTAATTAGATTAGTAAACAGCTTTCAATGGTCTTAACTACTGACCATGCATACATGTGAGCTAAACAATCACTTTTAGATAAGAAAAAAGAAACACAGAAAACAAAGTTTCTATGGCTGCCAGCAAATTGAAAATGGCATAGACCAAAATGATTACCTCATGAATTGGAATAAAATACTATTAGCAACTGTATCATCATCGAATTGGAAGACGAAGGGCATTGGAAAACTTTGCTAGTCCCTTCCAAACTAATGTCAAACTTCACGGCCATTCTTCTCATTTTTTCATGTTATGAACTTTTGGTGGGCCTATATATCCATATCTTCCATCTTTATCTTATCTTCACTTTTTTCGTACAAAATCTAAAAAGAATCCAACATGTACACATTTTTTAAGCATTTTATATTGACGAGTACATTTTAGTAAATACAAAATTTTGGATTATTTAACAAGATTTACAAGAAATAAATATCACATTAACAAAATAAAAAATTGAACCCCACCAACCAAAAAATGACTAGAAAACTTTTGAATCAACAACTGAATTACGTAAGACTTGTCTGTACTTATGTTCAGTGACTCTAATAAAAAGAGATTTTAAAATTTTATAACTGGCATGCAGAAAGAGATCAAGGTATAATCTAATTCTCATCTACTGTTAAAATTTTACAAAATAAACACAAATTGCATCCTTACTTTTTGAACACTTGAGAAGTAAAAGAATTCATTAGCACATATTAGGGTTATTGTGAGAAATTCTGGATAAAGTTCGCCTAATCTGCGTGTGCAGTCAACTTCTACCACGGTTCCTTTTTAATCTACTGAGACCAATGTTGGATTTTTGTGTTTAATTAGTGATTAGATGCATGAAACTTCTGAATCATAATTTGTTTTATGTGCCAATTATATCCGGCGCTTCTATTTTTCCTCTCTTTTTCCTTCGGGGGCTCAGCCCTTTATTTTAAACACACAATATAAAACACAAAAAATGATTAAAACTTATGATTTTAATGTACAAATAATATTAAACATTATTTTTTTAATAAATCTTGTTTACTTTTGATGCTTTGATTAGTGTCTTCAAATTATCAGTTCATATTTATTTTATTTAAATTAAAATATCTATATATTTTTAAAATTTTTCTCTATCATATTAATTATTATCTAACTTTCTTTTGTATTTTTAACTCTATTTATCATATATATAAAATTATACAAAATAATAGCATAAATGTAATTTCTATGATAATAAAAAAAGAATTCAGCACTATACACGCCACTGTCACATGTGAAAGTCATAAATTCACCTCTGACTCATAGAAATATGATGATATTTTATTCATTAAATATTTTTTATAATATTATTTGTTATTTGTCTTTATTTCATATTAACGATTTGATCTTTGGTATATAAAATCTCAAAATGATTGTATTCATACAATTTTTATATAATAAATATACACTGAAGAGAGATAGGAATAAAAAAAAACAATCAAATGTTTGACATGATAAAAAGAAATTAAAAAATATTATATAAAATTAATCAATGTACCAATACCTTTCTCTGATATCATATCCCTTTTCCAACTTATTGAGTACATAGAAACAAAAGACATCACCAGAATATGTCTTCATTTAATATTATTTTGCTCAAAAGAAAGTAAAAGAAAGCGGAAGAAAAGGATGGAAATCATTGAGAAGACAAAATTAAACAGTCCACCTTCCACGGCACTAGTAGCTTCTCTATAGCTAGCTACCAATTAAGTGGTGGGTGTAAAAGTTATTATAACTATATAAAGAAGAACGTCTTGAATATGGATCTGTTTGGGCATGCAACACAAATGAAGAGATAATATTAATAGCTAGACTTGTAAAATAAGCAAGCATGCAGGGTGGTGATGTGTTGGAGCTTAACCTTGGTTTAGGAAACTTTACTAATCTTACAGGGCAGTCACCAAGGCCAAGATGCCCCGCACCATTTTTGTTGAAGACCTATGATTTGTTGGAAGAAGGTGAGGCTGAACATAGCACCAAAATTGTTTCATGGAATGGAGAAGGAACTGCTTTTGTTGTGTGGTCTCCAGCTGAGTTCTCTGAGCTCACTTTGCCTAGATATTTCAAGCACAACAACTTCTCTAGCTTCATTCGCCAATTGAATACATATGTAAGTGGCTATACACACACATATATATATATAGTTAATTCATTTTCCTCTGCACTAGTACAATAGATAATATATTAACACAAGGTTAATTGTAGTCATATCCTTACAAAGTTCAGAACAAATGGATCCCCTTTCAGCCATTTTGAGGTTTTAATTATGTTAATTAACTTTCTTGGATTAGTTCTACCATAACAAAAATGAAAAAGAAAATCAAATGTATATATAGGGGGAACATAAAAAGAAAAAAAATAAGCAAAGCAAAATAGTCATTGTTTCCTTTTTGTTCAATTTTACCTCCAATAGAACGTGGAGTGAATGTGATAATAGTGATCGATTGTAGGTCTTATTTTCCCAAGTTTTTGTTATGCTTTTGTGGTTGTTTTCTAGCGCCCTCTATACTTCTATAGAAACTACAGAATTGTTAGTGGAGAACTATTGAAGAAGTATCATAATTAAACAAAACAGATCTGAGTTAAACGTATATGATATAAATTGATTGATCAAAGGTTATAATAAGCGAAGTTTTTGAGTTTCTATTCTTGCTTTTGTGGTTGTTCTATAGTATGTTTGGTGGTTGTTATTATATCTTCTTTCAAAACTAGGAACGTAGAGGAGTTGTAATATTGAAAAAGAAGTATCATATAATTAAACAAATCAAACCACGTGCATGTAAAGAATAATTTGGTCAAGTCAGACACAAATAGCTGATGTGGTCAAATCAGTTATTTTTAAGTAAAGTCAAAATAGTCGATAATCCTTTATTGCTCCACTGGGAGCACACTTAAATTGAAAATGAAGATACAACCTCGCTTATTGAGAATGGAACCATGCTATTTATTCGGTGAAAGAATTTTCAAATATTTATCTTTGACAATTTTGCATAGCAGCCGTTTGGAATATATAATAACATGACGTGGAATAATAGATTTTTATGTTTCAACTTCTATGTAATATCTAAGCAATTCATTTCCACTGCTAGAATTCAATATCAATCACAGTTAGGTGCCAAATTTTCTCAATCTTTCGTGATCAATAGGATTAATAAATTTTATCTTAGTAATACTCACATATTTGTGTGTGTGATAATTGTATTATTCATATAATATCGTTTATAATATTTTTTTATCACATCACTTGTTATCACCTTTCTTTTGTACAAAAATAATTCTTTAAAGTCCAGTTAGTGTTAAACAGGTGAAAAAAAAATAAAGGACGTAATAGATAATATGATAAAAATAAAAATAAAAACGAGAATAAAAAGTAGATGTAAAAAAAGTAAGTGTAAAAATATTTTAAAAATTTATAAAATGATGTACAAAATAAAGTACAATTAACTAGCATATTTTTCAATATATCCCACGTTGTCTTTAAAACAAGCAAAATCAAATTGGATAACTTAATCAGAAATTCACAAAATGATATGTGTGTGTGTGTGTGTGAATTATAATTTTTTAAGTCTTAACACATGATAATCAAATTAATAGATGTTTCTTCATTAAAAAAATTTCACATTTTTTCTCTATTTTAAAAGTCTCGACTCTTTAATTTAATATTGTCTAATACAGTAAAATCTTAATTATTCCAAAAATATTTATTAAAATTAAATACATAAGTTCATCATTGTTTTATAAATAAGAATGATATTGTTGTTTTTCATATATTTTTATTAAACTTTATAAATATTCAACCAATGCTCGAGAAACTTATCAACATATTATAATCTTTATGTGGACGGAATTGTGCTAAGTGATTGTATCTTCCTGATCCAGGAGAAAATAGTTAGGAACTTCGAAGAAAAAACGTTTATTGTTCAGTGTGACACCTAAGTTATTCAAAAATCAAGCCGAAATAATCCTTGGAAATATGCAATTTTTTTTATCATATAGTATTTGTATCAAAATAAAATTAACAAGCGTTATATTTTATCATAAAAAAAGTTGACCTATTTTTTCTAGCTGGTTTGGTTTGGTGTTTCGTCTTTTCTAATCTTTCAAAGTGCGAACAGGGATTTAAGAAAATATCATCGAAAAGATGGGAATTTAAGCATGAGAAATTTCAAAGGGGTTGCAAACATATGCTAGTTGAAATCACGAGGAAAAAGTGCGAGCCAAGTGTGTTTCCTTCATACCTCAAGTCTTCTTCAGAGGAAAATGCAATGAGTTCCACAGAAGAAAACAATCACCAACTACTTATGGAAGAGAACAAGAACCTCAAGAAGGAGAAATTGGAGCTTCAAATGCAATTAGCCGAATGCAAAGCACTTGAAACAAAGTTGTTGGCATGTCTCTCTCAATTTACAGACAACCACCAAAATAAAGTTAGGAGACTATGTTAATTGACAACTATTCAATGGAAAATAGAAAAGAAAAAAACTTAGGTTGTCTTGTTTGCCATGGATTAATAATGCTTCTTTTAATTTACCGTTCCTGGTTCACTCATATTCAGCATCTCAACAGCTGAATTAATATACTTCCTTTTCTTAATAATATAATAAGTAGATGCACGTATATAAATTCTAACTAGCATGCATTAAGCAAAAAATTGTGTGAAAGTCAATGTTAAACTTGCAAACAAAATCAATTGTATGGATGCTTTTTGACTCATTATTTATATCAATATGTCAAAATAGTGTAAAGGAAAGAAAGATGAAAGTAAGAGATACAGTGAGAAAAGAAGAGAAGAGAAAAAGAAAAGACATAAAAAAAATATTTAAGAAAAGGGAGTTTAAAAAGGATTAAGACTTTTAGGAAATGATTCTTTCACAAGAGAGATATGAAGAGAATAACTTGAAGAGAATAAAAGATATGATGTGAAAATATAAAAGTTAAAACTTTCAAATAAAATAGTTATACAAAATCCATCTAGATATTTAGTAAACTTAAAATGTGAATATCATCAATTGAAAAATAAACATGTGAAAATTCTATTAAAATTTGAGTTTCATCGCCAATAGTATAAGAACATTCCTATTAATATTTAAGTAGCAGTTTGCAATAATAGTTATTCAATATGTTATTTTCATTAGGATAAACAAGAAATGGTGAAATAAAAAGAGTAAGGAAAAATGTGAAAGGTTACGAATAATTTTGAATAGGAAAAGAAAAGATTAAGCATGAGTTGAGAAGGCAACTCAGCTCTCTCTTTTTTTTGTATGCTTTTTTTTAATTACATAAATATAGGTTTTTTTTCAAAAATTGTCAAGGATGATTTTTAATACTTTTGAAATATTTTATTATTATTTTAAAAATGATTATTGATAAGTTTTGATTTCTTAATGTTTTTAAAAAAATTGTCATTGACAATTTTTGAGATTTTACCACTTTTTTGTTTTTTTATCTTTGAATTTTTGTGTCTACACCAAAAATTGCTAATGATAATTTTAAACTCCATATTTTATAATTTTTTAAAAAGTACCTTATTTCAATATATATACATATATATATATATATTATTTTTAAATATCATATATAAAAAAATAACCCGTGCTCATGTTTTACATAATCGAAAAAATAAAAGACAGGGGATCAAAGGAAGATAACGAATAGGAAGGAAAAATAGTGATGTGCTCAAAAGGTTAAAAAATCAAGAAACAAGGAACTTATAAAATTGTTGGCATGACATAAAATGAGAGTCGAAAGAAATAGACATGGTAACTCTACAACCCACACTTTAAATTTAATATATTTTTATTAAATTATAGATATATTCTTATACATATTTTTATAATGAAATTCATGTATTTTAAATTTTTAAAATAAATACTTTATAGTTCAACTAAGTTTTCAATTAGTTCTTTACTAAATTTTATAATTAAGTCCTTTCTTAAAACACCTATAACAGCAAAACAAAATGACTTGTGAATTAGACTTCTAATAATCGAATCCAAACGACCTCAACCGATGACAACTTAAATTTTTAATGAAATTATAAGACAGAACTTGCAGAGTTATTTAACCTATAAATAATACCATTACTCATACAAGTATATTTTAAATTTAACTAAATTCTAAATATGAATAACTAATTAAATAAAATTGTATAAATTAAAGATAAGATATTCGACATAATAAATATGTATAATTAATTTAGGTCAAATCTATTAATAAAAAGGATTTCGTTGCTCAGTGTTAAATTTGATTGACTAGGTTCTAATAACTAGGATTCACCCGTGTAGAAATATCTTGTCGGGAAGCCCCAAACTGAGGTTTCCAAGGAAAATTACGTGCTTTATTGTATTCCCGTTTAAATTTCCGTTGGCTCACTGAATGTCTTTTACTTTCTACAAAGTGCCTTTGAAAAGTCACCAACTCCAATCAGTAAGGAATACACACAGGCCTTATATCTTGACATCCACTCTTTTGGGCGTAAGGTGAGTGAATTAAAGAAAAATAAGAAAATAAAATATGTAAAAAAACAATTAAGAGTGAAAAACAAATGTAAAATAAAGTGATTGTGGTGATATAAAAATTCCAATAGTTGATATGCAATACATAACAACAGGAAGGGAGCTGATTCAAGTAGGCTTTATAGGGTAATATGTAAAAGATAGATCATAATAATATGTTCTCAAACATCCTCCTAACACAAGGATCAAAATCGCCTCTGTATAATGCCAATCACACTCGTTCCAAGTTCCAATACACAACCAAAATGGCTTCTAAGACATAACACGTTATTTGAAGGAATAAAGTACTACTCAGATAAAGTCGACTTCAGCTCCCCATTATTTCGCAGCTCCAGCACAATATCGCAACCACCTATCAGCTCACTTTTGTAGTAGAGCTGAGGATAAGTAGGCCAGTTTGAGAACACCTTCAAACCCTGCCTCACTTCCTCATCACTCAATATATCAAAGGACCCAAAACTCACACCCTCCTCCCTAAGGGCATTAGCAACTTTGGAACTAAAGCCACATCTTGGTGCATCTGGGGTACCCTTCATGAAGAGCATCACAGGGGAAGAAGCAATCAATCTCTTCAGACGATCTTGAAGAGTCTCCGGCGGAAGAATCCCTTTCTCATGTAAAATCTTCTTAAGTTCTCCGCTTTTTTGCATCTCCAACACAACGTCTGATCCTCCAATAAGCTCTCCCTTGATATACAGTTGGGGATAACTGGACCAGTTTGAAAAAACCTTAAGCCCTTGACGAACTTCTTCATCAGTAAGAATGTCAAAACTCTCGAAGTGCACATTCTCTTGCCGGAGAATTTCAACTACCTTCCTACTGAAACCACACTTTGGTTCATCAGGTTTTCCCTTCATAAACAGCATAACTGGGCTTGAATTTATCAGGCTTTCAAGACGAGAGGTTAATGTTGTACTCAAACCAGTAGATTTAGATATGCCACCTTTGGCATCTCCTGATTCTGCTTCTTTTGCTACACCAATGGTATCAATTCCATGATCTTTAAAAACCTCCCGCAATTCCCCACTCTCATGCATAGCAATTGCTATGTCACAGCCACCAAGAAGTTCTCCTTTGCAGTAAAGCTGCGGAAACGTGGGCCAGTTAGAAAACTTCTTCAGACCATCACGAATGTCTAAATCTGACAGGACATCAAAACTTCCAAATTTGACTTTTTCTTCCTTTAAAACATCAACAACTTTTCTGCTAAATCCACATTTTGGCTCTTCAGGAGTTCCTTTCATAAAAAGCATGACAGGATGAGAGTCAACAAGCTGCTGCAATCGCTTTTTCAGAGAACCACTAAGCCCCGGTTGGACTTGACTTTTCTCCCTTGAAGAATCATTTTCTTTCGCCAATTCTCTCACTGTTTCAAGAACAGCAGGTCCTGCAGCCATCCCAAGGCTAGCAGGAGAAGCAGCTTCTCCAGGGTTAATTGAACCAGCTACTTTAGCAACCTTATTGGCTAAACTTGACGGATCAGCTCCCTCCAATGTATCAACAGTCTTGCCATCCTGACAAAAAAGGACTTTGGATCATCTAATAAAAAATCAAGCAAAGAATGTAACAAGTGATTTTTTTTAATCCTAGCCGGTTGAATCATCATACAGTTTTATAATTGCAATAAAACAAAGATATTAATTTGTCTAATTGAAGATATTTTTAGAACATGAAAAATATTAAAACTGGGTCTTATATTATAAACCTACAAAAGTTGGAAATACAACAAAGAACTCCAATAAATTATAAATTCAATTTCAGTTTAGTGTTTGCATGAAATTGTCTCGACTGTACACAGAAAGTTTCTTTAGAGAAATGCAGCAAATGACCATGCACACAAGTAAAGGAAATGATTGGGTATGTAACCCAAAGTAAAGGTATGTTTGGGAGTTGGGTTTTGGATAAAAAGGAAAGGGAGAACAAAATATTTCATTTTTAACTTTAAAGAGTTATATAATGTATATAAAAGTATATAAAATATGAACACATTAAGTTTATACTAATCTATCATGTTATGGCATTTATCTAAAAAATTATGAAATTAGAGAATGTTAATTAGAAATAAAAATTTTCCCTTGCCCTCCCCACTCTTTCCTTCCAAAACTAACTCCCAAACACACCCTAAGAAAATGCCTGACGAAGCAGTCTTGCACTTAACAACATCAAAAAGCCAAAATGGTTCAAAGCTAATTATCTACGTTCTGCTGACCTTTGTGCAGCTGTGATACTTGCCCTCAACAGTGAGTATACACTAAAGACCAATTGAATAACAGCTCCCCTTTCATTTTATGAAATTTTTATTATAAGTAGTCAAACTTTAAAGTCACCAAAGGGATTCACTCCAGGCAATCAAGACAGATCATAAAACTTAGTCCTCTTAAAAATTAGCACCATATTCTATTCCATGCAAAATTTCTCACCTTTCTCAGAAAATACCATTCATTTTGGGCATTGATCGGGCTCCATTGTTCAGCTAGCATCAAGTCAAACACATACCTTCAGGAAATAGAACTCTGGGCTAACTCATCGTCATTTTTGAAGAGGCGGTTTCAAAGTAACAACTCTCCCCCTAACCCCATACCATGTAACTCAGCAACAGAACAAAACATCAACTAGAGCATCAACTACAAACTATACTCTATTGACTAGTGTTCAACCAGAATGATCACTAAAACAGAACGATTATCATCCATTGCATCACATTAAAACGAACCAAACATTGGCTGAACAAGAAAGATAATGATATTAATTTATTATTATTAAGTCACTTTGGCATAGGATAACGATACCTTGCAGAAGACAAAGTAAGGAACAGCAGAGACAGAATAAGCCTCGGATATCTCAGGTTGCTCTTCAGCTTCAACCTACAAAATTTAACTAATAAAAAAATAGAGCAAAGGAAATAATAAAAGAAAAGAAGAGAATGAAAAGCAATAAAAACCCTTAGGAAATGAGCAAGAGGGAAATCAGTGGACAAGTGAGAGACGAGTTGGTCCATGTGCTTAGAAGCTTCACACCATGGAGCCCAGAAGTGAAGGATAACCGGTGAACCACTTCGCACAACCTCATCAATCTCACCCTTCAACTTCACGTCTTTCACTGTTCCACTCATTCTGCTTTCTTCACTGTCAATTGTCAAGGATCACACCAACACCCTACAAACAAACCCTAAGTTCCTATCTCCGATCAAAACAGAATCGGATAAAATCGTAGCGTGCTTCTTCTCAGACCCAATAATATATAAGCCCATTCTCAGGCCCAAAAACTTTTATCAAATACTTTGTTATAACTAAATAATATACACCAATAAAAACATTAAATAATAGTTGACAACAAAAGTTTATATATATATATATATCCAAATTTAAAATTCAAATTAATTAAAAAATGATATTCAAGAGTATCCCAAAAATCCCACCGTGCTCTAATAATTTTGCGAGATGACATTATAATATAAGATTAAGAGGAATAAATGCTAATTATTAACACACATAACTAATTTGTATACATTGAGATATTAGTTAGTGAAGTAAAATGTAAAATATTAAAAAAAATTTAACATATTAAAATTTCATAAATATATGAAATAGATTCTTTATAAATACTATAAATAGTTTTTTTAATGTAAATTTAAGGGAATCAAAGTTAACCCAACCAATATTTAAGTTTAAAATTATTTGTAATTTAATTTTTTAGAATTTTTTTTTAAGAGGTGAAACCATTTACTAAATAATTGATATCAAAGCCAATCTATTAAATTTTTATTGAGATGTTATTGATTTAAGTAATATTTTATCAATTTTGATTGTTGACATTATTTCATAAGCATTATATGTATACTAGACGGTCAACATTTATGATAATTTTTATGTTAGTGACTATTTTTTATTACAATGTTTACAATATTAAATAATAGAAAAATTACATTTTAATTAATACTAATAGAAACATAAAAGTTAAATAATGAAATAAATAATGAGATGAATGACAATAAGATGATGAGTTATTTTTAGTTAAAAAAATATTTATTCCCAAAATTATTTATATATTAACTAATAATATTTTTTTAAAAATAATAAATTATTATCATTTAATATTATATTTAGATATTTTGTATCTATAATTTTTGGGATATCTCAAGCAAAACTTTAGAAGTCTCATGTTTGTACTGGCTGTGAAGGAGGAGTTTTTGTATAATAAACTTTCATTAAAGAATATAAAATATTACAAAATTTAACATATTAATAGTATTAAATATTATAATTTTGAATAACAAATATTTATTATTCATTCTTAAACTTGCATTAAAAAACCTGAATTATAAGACATTTGCTCGAGTGAACGGCAAAGGATAAGAACAGTGTTAGTGCTGCAAATTCGAATTGTTAATTATGAGTCACTAACTCTGTTAAGCAAATTATTCTTCCTAGGCTACCTCATGAACTAGAACTCGAAGTTTGGCATTGTTGCTGCAATATTCTCCACTGTAATGCATAGCAATTGTTGTCATATCAGCATGGACCAACCAAGAACTTCCCCTTTTTCACCCTGATTAATTAATTGTCGTGAACTACCCATCCAACAACTCTCAGCATTTTCTTCTATTAAGGAACTTCACTCCTAACTCCTATACTTATGTACAGAACTTGAAGCTTTGCCATTGTCCTCAACTTCCTCTCCTTCTACATTATTATTATTATTCAACATACAACCCATACTTCTCCGTGATAGATTAGTTCCGGTGCTTTCTTATCCCATGCAAAAGCACAAGGTACTTTTTTAGTTTTAACATGAACTCTTCTTCACTTAATTTCTCGTTTATTCAAATTTTTTAAAAGAAAATTATACTTTGACACTCATTTTGGGATGCTAAACGAGTGAAAGGAAAAAATAGATAAGAAAAAAAATATTATATATAATTTGGATCAGTAATAGTTTTTGTTATTAATATTTAAATACTAATAAAAATCAATTGTAAATTCTTAAGCACTTAATAATAATATAATAGTCACAAATAATATATAATCAAAAATAATATTACAAAAAATATATATAATATGTAGATACACACATTATCTTATTATAAAAGAAATGCTATATCCTCTTACATGTCTTTTTAATAATTCTTATATTTTTTTAAAATATTATATATATATAATCTTTAAAATAATAAAAACATATTTAATAATTTCTTTATTTATCAATTAATAAAATTTATAAGCATACAAGATTGAATATGATTTAGAATTATTCTATAAAACATATTATAGGATAATAATAATAATAATAATAATAATAATAATAATAATAATAATAATTAATATTATATTCCCCAAAATAAAATATTAATTAGTGTAACAATATAATAATATAATAGGTACAAACATAAGTATTTACAAAATAATGTTCTAGATATGACAGTAATAAAACGTATCTGGCTAAAGTGACATGAGTTCAATGTCTAGTTTAAAAAATACACAATCATATAAATTTCTGGGCAGAAGAACATTAAGTATTTTTATGTTGTCTTTAATTGAGACTATTTTTTAATTAATTTTAAATATAATATAAACATTTTGTCTTTTTATAATATTCCTTCTAAAAGATTTTATTAAAATTGTATTTCAATATATACAACAACATTCAGTACAAATATTTTATTCAAATAACATTTTAATTTTAATTAATAAATAATGTTAGCAACACCTAAAGAATATCATATTATAATAGTTTTTTAAGAATAAAAAGTTAACCAAAATTAAATGTAATTTAATAAAATGCACCTTATAAAAAATTAGAAAAAGATATTTTACAACTGATTAAGATAAACCGCTAATTTTAATTACAAAACAGTAATGAAGCGTCTAAAATGTGGCATTTTTGTTCCATTCAGAATGATGTTCTTAAAACAAAGGTAATAAAATCTCTCTTTATTATTATATTATTTTTTATTTTTATAAATTTACCATTAACTAAGATTCCCTCAAAAGATGACTTGAGCCTTTTCACAAAAACTGGGAAAGAAGGCACAAAGATAGGAAGAGAATAGAAAACATACAAGGATTGATCGCAGTATCGCACCCAACAAACCAACTTCTTCATTCACTAAACACCTTAGCTATCCTCTCCACACCCCAAACCCTAAATCCCTTCTCCGCCGCCGCCACAAACGCCTCATCATACTTCTCCGACACCCGAGGGAACGTCGAAACCCGCTTCAACCGCCGCCATGCCACCGCCGTCTTGCCCTCGTACCTCTCGTAGAGCACCCTCGCCGACGGCTCGCACTTCGCGTAAACCGTCCTGGGGATGTCGGAGGCGGTGGGCCGAGCGGCGACGGCAGGGCTGTGCGCGGCGGCGACTGAACGGTCGGGATAGCGGACTGCGTGGCGGAGGAGCTCGTCGGGAACGAGGTGGAACTTGTCGTAGACGGGACTGATGACGTTCTTGACGGCCTCCTCGACGGAACGGACGCCGGGACCGGAGCGGTCCTTAGCGCGAGCGTAGACGGCGGCGGCACGCATGTGGAATTGAAGGGTGGGAACCTGAACGAAATCAAGGTACTTGAGGTTGTGGCGTTGTGCATGAAGAATATAGAAAGGAAATGAGTAAGAATAGAAATATATAGGAATGATGAGTTGTTGAGCTATTTATAGGAATGGGAAGACTCTTATGTAGCATAGCACCGTCTAATTCCTTCTTCACTTCTATTTAAAGCGACCATACAATACAACATAAGAACATCTGTAAAATATAGATACAGAGCGCAACAATGCGTCAAGATCTTAGGGTGATGGAATTGGAAAGAGAAACCATTTGATGCATTTCAACTTTGTATTCTAATACTCAATTGACGCACAAAAGGGTGTCAACGGAAAAATAGTTACTAATATTCAGATAAACTTTGGTCAACAAAAATAAATTTTATCTTAAACTATATATTTAGTCTTTTCATAATATCCCTTTTTATAATTTAGGTCATATAATTTAAAAAATTATATATTAATTCTCATAAAAAAATTATTTTCAATTTCGTTTTTGCCTGCAAGTACATTATAATAACAATAATTTTTTTTTCTTATTTGACAAACGATTATCTAATGTATTAGATTTAAATTAGTTTTAATCATACATAAAATTTCTTTTTGTAATTTAATTCTTATAAAAAAAATTATATCAATTTTTATACAAAATTTTATTTATAATTTTATCTCTATTGTTATAGTAATATTTTAATATTAGTGTTATGATATTTTTCTACCATCTTCGTAGGAGTATTTTAGATTAGTTAAATAAACTTTATATTTTACTTTATACTTTTTTAATTTATAAATAAATAAAAGTAATAATAATTTAAAGAGTGATTATAATTTTTCTTACAAATGTACTAAAGATATAGAGAAAAAAAAATTCTTAGACTTTAACACAATTTAAAGAACATGATCAAAATTTGAGATATTGAAATAAAAATTATATGAAAAAGAATGATGATTATGATAAAGTAGACAAATAATAATATTTAAAATAAAAATATTGAAAGTTTAATGTTCATATAAATATGATAAGAGAGTGCATGGTCAACACAGACTTACCTAAAGTGCCTATATTGCTTGCAGCCAATACAAGTATTACCTAACTTACATGAGATTCAACAATCAAAATGATCGGTAGATCCAAGAGAAAATATAATTTTCTTAAAAAATGACTTAAACAAATATCTTATTTCTTTTTTGTTTAAAACATTGGCACAAATCTAAGTTATGATTCAATGAAAAGGAAAAAGATAAAATAAAAAAAAAAAGTAAAAAATAAAAACCTTTATTTTTTAACAATTTGAAGAAAGTTCTTACAGAGAAAAAATATTTACTTATATAATTAAGTTGAATGTTATAAATTGAAAAAGTATGAAATAGAATATGAGGCTTCTTTAAAAAATTTAAAATACTTCTTTAAGTATGATGAAAAATATCACTTGATACTAACATAAAAATATTAGCATAATAATAAAAATAAAATTGTAAATAAATTTTTGTATAAAAACTTATATACCAAATTTTTTTAACATATAGAGACTAAATTACAAAAAAAAAAAAACTTGTATAAGGACTAAATATATTGCATTGAATAACTATTTACTAAGTAAGAGAGAGAACTAACATCATTATAAGGTATAATAATAATAAGAAGAAAATTAAAAATAAACTTTTGTATAAAAACTTAGTATACAATTTTTATAATTATATGGACTAAAGTACAAAAATTGATCTTATATAGATTTAAGAGTTCATTTAAATTTAAATTTAAATTTTATTTTTCCTTTTAGGATAAAAGAAAGGAATGAAAATATTAATTAAATTAAGAATTTTGGTAACCAGTGCTATGAAGTTTCGGTTAAAAAATTAATAATATAGGTTTTTATTAAAAATTATTTTGAAATGTAATAAAAATCACGAAAAAATAATGTATGATAGTTTCTGATCAAAAGTTTTTATTTTTACTTTTTTAACCAGTGTTTTAAGAGTATTAACATTTGCCTTAAATTAAAATTTAAAGATGTGATTGTGTATAAATGAGAGCCGAAGCATTCATAGTTAATCAAAATGAAATCCTTAAAATTAATTATTGGAAAATGATAATCGCTTGCAATAAGTATGTGAGAAGAATTAAAGTAAATAAATTTAACATACAGTTTTCTTTATAAAATAAGATCTTAAATCATTGCATCAGAGAGCTACCAATCTGTAGTAATCATATAGTCGAAACAAATGAAAACACGCCTTCTTGATAGAGGAAAAGCTGTAAAGAATGCTTCCTAAGTTGTATAAAAAAACAAAGTGACACGTGAACTGCAAACTACAGCTCTAGTGTAAAAAACAATGATTATATCAAATGCTTTTTACGAACTCTAAGCACATTATATCAAATGTGTTTATGTACATCTCAAATTAATCCTTTGATTGATCAGGTAAGCAAGAAGCAGGGAAACTCCTAACAAAAGAGGGTTCAACCTGGCATTGTTTATTACACCAGAGTAATAAGGGTTCACTTGACATAAGCAATGGTACAACCATAATTCATTGGACTTTCCGGCTCATAATTAGTAACACGTGAATGGTTTTGAAGAATCTCCAGTGCACGCTCCTTAATAGCTCCAGTGCCCATCCCATGTATAACAAAGAGAACCGAATATGGCCGAGTGGCATTAATTGCCATCTCAAGGTGGGTAGAAGCTTCTTCTACTCGCATACCTCGTAGGTCCACAGTATTCTTAGACGTACGCACCACTGGACCATAAGAAATATAGTCGTCAGTTTTGATGTCCACATTACCCCTGTATTCTCCATTCGGCAGACTCTACAAAATTAAATCAAAATGTTAGAACTCAGCATTTTGTTTTTAGACCAATGAATACTTTGACCAATCCCCCCTTCCCCCCTTTTTTTTCCTCTTTCAATTGTGACATTGTCATTAAAAATAATGTCTGGGTCTTGATTGAATGCTCAGCTAGGTTTTTCCATGTTCAGAAAGATCTCTTTTAATTAATGCTTGCCCAACTAAATGGAAATGCATACATCACTTTGTTTTCTTCCCTCCCATGTTAATTATATCAATTGAGCACTTGCATGACAGCTCTAAACTTCCTTATACGTACCTGCCTCCCCTGATGCGTGGAAGAACTAGTTACGGTATTCTTTGCACTAGATGGAATAGCTCTGATGCTACTTTTCTTTACACGGGCTTTCACTTTACCATACTGGACCAGGATTGTTTCATCATCCCCAGGCAATTCTACCACTGTGGCTAATTTACCCCCCAATCCCTTTACATGGACTTGCTCCCCAATTTGTGGGGTATATGAAGTGTGATTGGCTTCATTAGAAAAACTATCAGCAGGAGTATGAGCTTTTACAATGGAGGCAATTGCAGATTCAGATTTTCTGATAAGCGAATTGAGCTGATCATGACCAGGAGTTCTGAGTTGCTTCTCAAATTTCTGTATCACAGTTTCCAACCGAGATTTTGCGTCCGCTAGCTCTTGTTGGACCTGTTGAGAGTCCTTGCCCATAAGTTCTATCTCACGTCTATCAAGGTCTTCAGCCTCCCCGTGGATCTTTGCAATATTTAGAAAAATAGGATAAAAGTAAAGAAATGAGAAACTCTAAATTTCTGGAAAATACTCAGGAATACTTTTGCTTTATCAACAATTTTCCAGCAATATAGGCGTCATGAACATTTTGGAAGGAAAAATCTATGCACTTATTTAATATTATAATTGTGAATATAGTCATTTTGTGATTTTCTGGTCAATTTTACCCGCTCCTTACTTAGGATGCAAATTTCAGATAAACTTGAAAAGCAACATTATTGTGTGTGTCGACCAAGCAAAAGAAATATAATCAAGAAACAAAGAATCTCTTTCCAGAAAAGCATCTAGATTGTACCTCATAGTATACGTTCATAATTTCTGCATGAATGGAAGCAGCCTTTTCAGCCTGAGCCTTTAATCGGTTTCTTTCCTCCTGTAATGACTGATAGAGCATTCCTCTCCGCTCTTGTTGCAGTTCTGGTTTTAACTTCTCTACCCATCTTTGTGCGTGATCAATTACCTTTCTATCAAAGCCAATAGATTGTGCTATGGTTAATGCATTTGAATCACCAGTACATCCCCAGAGGATTCTATAAGTTGGTTGTAACGTTTGGAATGAAAATTCCATTGCTGCATTGTCAAAACAGGTATCCTTTTCCTTCATACTACTTAGATCAGCATAATGAGTAGTCACAACAGCCAAGTTAACACGATCCTTCAGATATTGTAAGATACTGGTGGAAAGAGCCACACCTTCTGAAGGATCAGTTCCACCACCAATTTCATCAATGAGAACAAGTGATTGTTTTGAGGCCACTTCCAAAATCTTACAAATACGTGAGATGTGCCCACTAAAAGTTGAGAGATTTTGTTCAAGGGACTTCAATTTGGAGGAGGAAAAAAAGATCAGACAAAAAATAAAACAATTACATGATGTCAACAAAAAAGTCTTTTATTGTCTATAAAACCTTTACCTGGTGATCTCCAATATCTGCAAGGATAAGGTCAAACCAAGGAAGCTTTGGATTGTTCTTGGCAGGCAAATGCATTCCAGCCTTTGACATAAGCGATGCCAGCCCCAATGTTTTCATGGAAGCAGTTTTCCCTCCTGTATTAGGTCCTGAGATCACCACCACTCTAGTTCCACATCCAATTTTGAAGTCAACAGGCACAGGGAACTCTGATATGCCTTGTGTCGTATACTTAGAAGCCGTTGCTCCATTTCCGTTACTGAACTCAGCAACATTTCCAGATCTAAGACTAAGATTATTTGAAATGTTCTCTAGAGAATCCAGGAGTAATGGATGTCGCATACCATCAATGTTTACTGTTAAATCATCATCATCTTGTGTGACTAAGGTATCATTGCCCCCTTCAACAAAATCACAGCTTTCAAAATTACCTAAACTGAAAATGGGACATACCCCATTCATCCATTGAGCATACCCAGCTCTTGCGAAAGCAAGATCAACCTCAAGAAGTTTATCCAATAAATAATTTATATGTGATTCTGAACTTGCTATTTCAGATGCAAGCATGCTCAAAATTGCACTTTCCTCAGCCTTCTCAGAGTTTGAAAGCCTAACTTCCAAGTTGTTCAGATCTATTGCGTCTTTGGGTTCCATAAAGTATGTTGCTCCGGAGCTGCTAACATTCAGAACTACACCATCAGGAAGCAAATATCTATGGGAAGCCCTGATGGCCACACACATTCTAGATCGGCGCTTAGTTATTAATGGTCTGTCAATTCCTCCGGCCTGAAAAATTTGAGATGATACCTCCTTCAACAAAGAATCCAAAATTTCTATGTTCCTCTTTCTTTCTGATCTAATAATCTCCAGTTCTTCACTTGCTCTATCTAGAATTACTAAAAGATTGCAATCTATGCAAAATTCTATTTTACGCTCCAAGTCCATTTGGAAATTACAATTTTCCAGTATTTTAAGTAGGGGCAAGTACCTGGTAGTAAACGATTGCATCAATAAAGTTAACAATTCTGATCATTATCTTGAAATTTCTGGAAAGAGGCAATAATGACTAAAAGACAAGTGTAATTAGAGTATAACACTCTGAATTTCAGTCATTACCTTTGAGATAAACTTTCTTTTAAGGCCTTATTGAGACATGAGAATCCATTACCATATGATCTATGCTCCAAACTTTGTCAAGAAAAATACAACACCTAGCCAAAATGCATAAGAGAAGCTGCTTGTAAACTGAATCAGACTATAAAACCCTTGAATGCTGGGAAAGCTACTTTTTACTACTTCATACCAACCCTTTGAACTAGCTCAAAATTAGATTCGAGAGTATGAGAGTCATATAAACATTTTGGAATGCAAGTCCAAGTAACGATTGACATAATTTGGATTTACTTATGACAAGAAACTACTACACGCTATAATCCAACACTGATCATAATTCTAACTATCATTTTTTAATTATGTGCTAACTGATAATTTTTACTCTGATTCAATGCATGACAATTTCACCGAAAATAAAAGCAAAGGAAAAAAAAAAGTTGTTTATGTTCAGCACTAGAAATTTAAATGCACACCTTTGAGGATGACTAGAAGCGGAAGCGAAGTGTTTCAAATTATCGAACAATTCCCTGGCAGCGGAGAGTGTGCGGCGAACTGTGCAAAGCTCTCGGATTGTTAACAAGTGACCGGAAATGGCGACGCCGAGAATTTCCGTCAAGTCGTCGATTCCGGAGAAGTCGAGAGGTTGGGTGACGAGTGTGGCGGCGGAGGTTTGATCTAGAAGCTTCTGGCTCTCGCGGAGGGTGCGGCCGATGGGTAATCGGGCGTCGAGGGCGGCGGCGGAGCCCATGGTGGTGGAGGTGAACGCCGATAGCTGCTTGCAAACGGAGCTCCATTCCAGCGTCTTGAGGGTCTTGGCTTGGAGTGAGTTCGACTCGGGCGAGTTGGAGTTGGAGCAGATGAGCAACGCTTTTGGGATTGGGGGTTTATTCACCGAAATCAACACGGTGCTGCCGAGTTGCATCGGTGACTCACTGTGCCCTGTTTCTGTGTCTACCACCCGTTCGTTATGGATTGGGTTTTGGAATTGGACCTTGTTTCATTTGGCAGTGTTATATCCCTCAACCAATCGTGGCCAGCTCAACGGCGTCGTTTCTGTTTTTTACGATTACGAATGCTCGCTACTTTCAACCGAGTTAACGTTAGTGTTTCGCGGGAATAAATTATCTGGCAAACGAAGTTTGTTCTCACTAAAAACCTTGTAACCAAAATGTGTGGTGAAAACACCCCATCAGAGGATAACCCCTATATCTCACTCTATCTGGTGGCTGCAATGGGTTGGGCATCATTCAGCCAACAATTTTATAGATAATATGGTTAGAATTAGAAAGAGAGGTACCAAATTTACTCAAGTTGCTTATCTTATAAAAGTGGTCTATAAAAAACATGGTTGCCTTTATACTATGGGAAACAATTTTTTTCATAAATTATTTTGATTTTCTTGAAAGCTAATGACAAGTGGCAACTTACGATCAACGATGTGAATCATATGTACATAATGTTACTCTTAAAATTGCCCATGAAACTTGGAAATGTGCGGTAGATATACATTGGAAATGACCAAACCACCCTTATTAAGTTAATATGGCTTATTTATTTGTCTTTGCTATCCTCTCGAAGAACAACAGGAACAAGGATGATACCGCAGCAGTGGGCGTCTCCATGTGGAAACCAATGTACCAATAAATACGCTGCCCTTACAAAAATCCCATGTAATGTAACCCCCACTTCAATATACCGTTTAAGGAATGTTCATGTTGGCATATGCATGCATATAAGCATTATGTAACGGAATTTGGGAATTGTGCAATCCTTTTCATTTGCCCATAACGTGAATTCTGGCTAATTTTGAATTTTTGGGTAGATTCTATGTTGAATCATTCAAATAAATTTCTTTCTTCGTTTTATAAATTATTTTGGTATATATTATAATTTATTAAGGTAACTTAAGGAAGCAATATTCCCGGTTCATTGAAGGCTCTTATAGCAATTATGGTTGATAATCTTGATGTGAGGTTATTCTGGTGTTAATTGGTTTTCGGTCTGCCCTCCAAATTCATTGTTTGCGTTCCTTTTTGTTCTCACAAATCCTTCTTGTTTTATTATAGGGCGAGTGTTCTGCAAAAAGGGCTGTAATTCGGATGGAGAGACATGGGAAGAATGTGAGATCACTTGCATCTTTGTTAATATTTTTTTCTTATCAATCTTATGTATGCACACAAAAAGTTTAGGACAAACTAAGTTTACACCCCCTCTTAAGTTTCTCAAAGTTCCATTTGGCACCCTTCTCGTTTTTTACATCACTTGATTCATGTAACTGCATAATAAATCAAGGGAGATCTATGTTATCAAGAATGGTATACGGTGTTATGTTGTTATATAAATTAAGGTGGTCTGTATAAAGTCAAAAAAGAAGAGATATCTGATGAAATTTCATCCAACTTTGGGCAGTGAGTGTAATTTGCTCAAATTTATATCCGCTCAAAATATAGGCTTTACAAAATTCAGATTCTTTGTACTTCGGGAATCAATACTACCATAATAGTCACTGAGTTTTTTTTCCCCTCCCCTTAATAAATAATTTTAAAAATATACAAAATTTGTTTTGACTTGATAACTCTAGGCTCTTATTTTTTTGCTATTGAAGCGACGTAGAGAACTTATATGAGGTCAAGCAATGGCTTTGGCTTTGTAGATGGCAGAAGTAGTTAGCTGATTACACAGTCTGAGCTCATATTTTGAGGAGGATTGCTATCAACTTGTTTGGTTTATCTTAGGTTATGTTTGGATAGAGAATTTAAAAATTCTATAAAATATGAAATTAATAATGAAATATGCTTAGAGTTAGAGTTAAGTGTGAGAGAAGTTATGAATGATAAATATAAAAACTTAAACATAATAGAGAGATTTTTAAATTCTCTCTAAGACAAATCACTTGAAATCTTTTCTATTTGATATAAAAACTATCTAATTATAATTATACAATATTTTAAAATTTCTTTTTTTAACTATCCATATAGTAGTAATTTTGAATTACTGTGTCCAAACACAACTTAGTTTCTTCCTAGCACATTTTAAGAAAAAGAAAGTAAAAAATGTGACTGTAAAGTTGGACTTGTTTGGTGACAGAACTTGATTTTGATTTACAAATGATAGAGTATTGGTTAAACAGGTTTGGAGGACTGCAATCAAATATGCTACAAGGATCCTGTACTAAAGGACCAGCAGTGGACTGCTTATATTGATCGTTCCCCTGGAGCTGCCAGTTATTCAGAGGTATTTGTGTTTGCAACTTCTGATTCTCTAATGGTTGCTCTCTTTTAACTGTTTTAATGTTTGGTTCTGCAACCTTAAAAGAAGGTTTCTAAATGTTGATTGTTGTGTTATTGTCATAGAATAAAAGCTTGATAAGAGGTATAAGAACATAATTATTGAACTGTTACTGTGGTCTCTGGCTGCCAATGATTCTGTATGCTGCTAAATTTGTTTAATAGGACTAGTCAACTAGTTGGCTAGCCAGTTTTCAGCTCTGAAATCTGGACAGGGTTGGGAAGGAATAATGGCCACTGCCAATCATAACAATATTCTTGTAACTTTTTAATAGCTTAAGGTTAATTATAGTATGGTATGGCTACTATCTTTATCTTTACAAATTAATGATGAGTAATTCCTTCTTGTACAGGAATGTTTTCATGCTTGTGTATCTGGCTGCGGTTACAAGGTCAGTTTGATGTCCAGAACATAGATTTTGGTTAACTTGTCATAATTATTAGAATCTTTTCAACAAGCACAGGAGGGAATGGTACTTTTTGGATTTGCTATGCTCGTTTCATATAGGCCCTTTTTTCTACCATTTTTATTTTATTTTACAAAATAAAAGAACCACATAATGATTGTAATTTTTTAACTTCTATTTATAAAAGCTTATTTACCTCCATATGATCATATTGTGTTTGCCTATAGCAAGGTTCTCTTGCTCATGATGTTTATCAGGAGTTTCATTCTCAAATCAGTTTGATAACCTTCAATGAATCTCATGTTCATAAGTTGAAATATTAAATAGGGAAATGTATCGTGAAATTGATTTGTAATCAGATCCTAGGTATTAAATTATGAATCAGATGTGACCGCAATATCTTGGTTGCAATGGCTGTTGCTACTTCATGGTATTTTACACATTCCACATCTAGAATTGAATATCAAGAATTAATAGAAGTCTACAAAACTCTAATGAATATTTAAATATTTACATGTAATAACCTTATATACCTTGGCATGTTGCAGTTTGAGGTTAAATCAGAGGAAGCTGATAAAGTTTGTCCTAACAGGCAACCAAAGCCTAAGACTGAGTCTCTTCAGAAGCCGAAGAAGTCATAACATGTATAACCCCCACTGACCCACATCATCATATGCCTCCTACTTCCGCATAGTCAAACACAACCTAAATTTATTATAAAAAAATGGTATTCTTAACCATTCTTTTTTGGTTATATTTTCACAGGAATTTATATATGTTGTTTAAAATCTTACATCTAGCTTTGTATCAGCATGATTTAGTTTCATTTTGTGGTCAACAGCATCACCGTTCATGCCTTTCTGCCTTGTGATTTTGGAAGTCTCATAACACTGAATACTGGAAATTTTTGGTAGCTGGGTAATTATAGTGTAACTGCGACATTCATGATTTTATCAGAGAAAGTTGATGACCTATATTGTTATTTATATGATTACTTAAGTAATTAAGTTTATTGCAAGTTTCTCCCTTCATCTCAATAAAATTTAGAAAAGAAAATTAAGATATTGCCCCCAAAAATTAGCGGGCCCTTTTATCCTTTATTGACATTTACTTATTACCCCGAGACTTGTTCGTGAACATCTTCCCCCTAACCTTTTTCCTATTACATTGGAAAGAAATGTTATTGATTGACGCAAATAATAATAATACTATATTCTCTCAAGTTAAAATTTCACATGATATGATTATATGCGAGTTATGTGTCTCTCTTGATAAACATTAAATAAGTAAAAATATATAAAAACTAATAAGAAAAATATATACAAAACTTACACACGTATCATGTCACACGAGATCCTCTCAGTTTATGCTTTATAATACTTTGACGGCACAATATTACACTTTATTTCAATTCAATAATGATAAAAATAATAAAGTTTCAAAGCATTAAAATCATAAAGGGAAATAACTTCCCGTCTCCCTTACCAAAACAAAAAGATTTGAAGAGAAGAGGAAGAATGTCAAAACTAATTACTTTGAAGGCTAAGTTCGTTTTGTTTTTCTTCTTAATATTTTTTCCAAAAGTGAAAATATGAAACAAAAAAAGAATACATGTGGCTGCCAATTGTATAACCATTTCCTTTAAAAGGAGCTCAAAAAAGTGATTCTTTTTGGTCCTAATTTTACATTGCATGTTAGGGGGAGGAAGATGCATCATGAGATGGTCTTGCCTTTCTTACTACTTTTGGCGGCGTAAAAAATCTCGCACATAGGTATGTACCTCAGTTTTGACCACCATATGCATCTTCTTTGAATCTTCCCATAACAAGCCATTCCATTCTCTGGCACAGTCACATGCACCTTCAAATACATCCTGTCCACAAATGATACAAATAATCACACACACATAACGCCACATGAACTCTCAAATTAATGATGCTAAGTTGCTTACTCGGGAAGGGAACTCGTCATAATAATATGCTTCTGTCATCTCAACTCTGTTTAGATCTCCTTCCCACAGCCTAATCTGTCACCATTGCAATGCCACACATCAGAAAATGAAAATGAAGCATACACGCACATACATGATATTGAGATATGAAACCTGATCTGTGACATTTTCAGGCACTGATGGTATCCTCTCTGCAACACGAGGATGCGCATTCTGCTGAAGGAAACTGATTATCTGCAACATCAACGCATGCAGTTGTCTGCATAAGAGATTGTCTGAAGAACACTTACTAAAGGTCAATTCAATCGATATGGAAATTCTAGGTTTCTTAGACACTGATCTCTAAGTAACTTAAGGCTTGCATGCAAATGAAAATGAATATAGATTACTATTAGTCAAGATATTAAAAAGGAAAAAAATCTAACCAAAAATAGCAAAATAATATCCGTCAAAACTTTAGTGAGTGTAAAGCATATCAGGCTCCGGAAGTGTACAGTAGTAAAGAAATGAAAGTTAATTTACTAATGAAAGGTCCTATGCACCTCCATCTATTCATCAATGAAGGTCATTCAAATGACAGGTTATGGCCAGAAAGGGTTGATGTTGGTCTGGTAGCCGCATATCGTGTCTAAAATTCCTTTGGAAGAATTACTTACATAAACACTTATTTTACAAAAATTGAAATGCTAAAAACAATCAGAGGGCAAATGGACAAAACATAGCATCTTTCTGTGGAAGGCACTTATCTTAATTTAAAAGTAGATATTACAAGATAACATTTCTATTTTCTAATACTTACCTGCTCTGCTGTAATGCCATTTTCAAAAGCATTATACAAGCTTTCTTTTGTGATAGCCCCAACAATAAGATTTGGAAGTTGGTACTCTACCCTGGATACATCACAAGTACCGAGACTAAGCAATAATATTATTTTGTTAAAATAGGCAGCTCAAAAATTAATAGCTGAATTAATGGTTTTATATAAAAATAGTATCAGAAAAATTAAAGATATTCCAAAATCATCATCTAGGAAGAACAAATTCTGATATCTATTAGTTCCAAAACACAAATGACCGGGAAATTTGAGGGAAGTCTAGAGGCTTTATTTGACACAAGTTGACAAATATAGCATTCTACAAAGTATTTGACGGTATACCTGGAGAATAGCCGCAATATCTCACAATGTAATTTTGAAGTTGAGTAAGCATAAACTCTAAAATTTGTTTCTACAACCACGAATCCCTGAAAAATTAAATAGAATGACATTTTTCATTAATATTCACATCTCTGAACAGAAAATAGGTTTTTTTTTTTTTTTTTAAAGGGCATAATTATTGCTACTATAACAGAAAAGTATCTATTCAATATAGCCAGCCAAAAATTAATCGACATATTAGGCAGTCATTAAGTCTGAGGTGTAAGAGATGATACACTCAACAAAAGATTCTTGAACAAGAATCAACATATCTCCTATGCTTAATCCAGTAAAACTTGAAAACCCTAATGAACATGAGTATATGTGAGTTTAGAATGATTCAGATGAAGCAACCAAGACTGCCTAACCTGTCCAACAGTAATATCCGCATAGAACAAGTAAAACAACTTGGTTATATTGATTTAATAAATCACATTAATACTTACAAAATAGCATGGCCAACAAGGTCATCTAAACCATATACAAATACAGACACACATGAACAACTACATTTTAAAACAAGGCAATGTTCTAAATTTTCCATCAAAATAAATCTATTCTGAAACAAAGAAGAAACCTGCTTTCTAGATGATGAATCAGCCAAGCTCATGGAAAGATTGGTTGCCAGTTTTGTAGGTATGAACCAACTTTCTTTCCTGCCCTGTAAAATTTTCACAAAAGAAGAAAAGGGAGACAGATACTAGTGAATAAATATACAGTTAAAATCATCTTGAACCTTATGATGTTATCTGAAAAAAATAAGCACAGAAATATTATAACCTGCTGAAGTTTGACCAGTCCAAGGTCTGCTAGATCCTTAACTATGTTCCTCTGAAAATCAGTCAATGTGTTTATATTGTAGGCCTAATGCATTGAAAAAATCACGTGTCAAATTCTTACCAGCACAAAACTTGTGGAAGTAGTTTAGAATACCATAATATTGGTTTTTTATGCAACAAAATTCTCATCAAGGAACAAGGATGTCTTACCTCCCCGATAACATGAAAACTAAGCTCCAGCATGAATGAGATCAACTCAGCTGCATCAACACCTCTCTCCTGCACCAAATGTGGATGATGAAGAGCATGTACAAACTAGAAACAAATAGCAAAAACAATATTAAAATAAAATAAAATAAAAAGTTAGAACTACCTCAGAATTTGAGATATATTCTCTGATGATGTACCAAAGCTGTGCATTTGTATCCATCAGCTGTAATCCACAAGGAACAATCTTAATATTTAGGAGAATGCATTGCATTAAGTTGAATTGGCTCATATATCATTTGATGCATACCAAAAACTGGAAACCACTTTCAGTTAATTTTGGAGCTTCTTTGTCTCTGTATTGTCACATAAAACAATGCATCAAACATGAGACACAGTTTGCAATACCCATATGCACTTACAAGAAACTGTTACAGATGAGAAGTAGTACTTCCAAGAAAACAAAACCTTTGGCTAAGGAGACGCCGCTGGAAAACTTTCATCAATGAAGAGCTAATATTTAAGGGCTTTTCAACATGACTTGGGCTTATGAGTTGCAACAAGAAACACTGGTTCATCACAAAACAAAGTTGCAGAAGAGGTTAGGCTTAAAATTATTAAAGTGACTTATGTAACAAATAATATTACGAATAAACTACATAGATGTAGTACAAGATTAAAAAGATTGGAATCAAAAGATCGAAACATGGTACCTCCCATTGTTGTAGAGCATAGGCCTCAAGATCTTCTAATGTTGGGAGCCTCACAGTAATATTAGAAGGCATTGATTCCCTAGGCAAAGTTCCCCTGCCATATTTAATCATGAGGAAATATTAATAGCTGAAGCAAATATTGAATTAGTAGTATGACCACAGTCTACATTTTAATAGGAGTAATTGCTCTTAACAAATTCAGAATCCAGGATTGACTATTAAATGTTATTCTGATCATTTAATCTCATGATATTGAACAAGACAAGCTAACTATTACCATGAACAGAAAAAGAAGACAAAATGATGTATTACTCACCCTTGTACTAAAAGTTTCTGGAGACTTCTCTGAAATGTTGTGTTAAGTTTGTAAGTCTTTTCATTCTTCCTGCCAAAAGGAGAAAAATTTACTAATGTAATCAGGTTGACTACACTCCAAATTGGCAATAGTGATGTTCCAGAACTATGGAAACTCTTAAAGCCAGACGTGAAGATAATAAAGAGATGAATAATAATATATACAATTCAGAAAAATAAACCACGCATTGATATCAGTTCCTCTTACTCATAAATTGAAAAAATAAAAAAAATCAAAAACAACAGATTCAACAGAAGTAAGTTAGCAGTATTAAGCATTTGCCTCATGCTATTGCTATGAAGTGATTGATAATGGTATACACATTTGTGTTCTGAAAGAAACAAAAGGGAAAGCAAAAAAATATCATGCATGCCATGGAGCATGGGTGGGAATCAGATATGCAAATATTATCCATTGAACTACAACATGCCTCAAATAAAGTACGGTTGATTACAAAGACTTTCAAACACATTACAAGATGCAAAAAAGGTGTCCACACTCCATACTAGGGGCTCACATTCATCCAATTGTCATTCAAAATGTATCGAATTGGCTTGAATAATTCAAAAACACAAATGTCTACTTTTCATTTTTTAAATAAAATGTATTAAAAACAAAACTTTTCATTAGTGAATAAATGCATACCTGTCAACAGCTTCAAGAAAAACTCTCAATTGAACCAACCTATCAACGGCTACTCTGTGCTTTGAAGCTCCATCGGGAAGCACCCACTCCTCCAATAATTTAGCTGCCACTTGCACATCAATATGCAGCATCTGTAAGACATATTTCTTGGCAAGAGGCGGAAGAGACCTGATATTGTAAGATATATACGTATCTGTTAAAGCCAAAAGTCAAGAAACTCATGAACAAATAACTTACTTACCCCACTTAACTCTGAACTTACAGAGAAAAAAGATCAAAACAACAATGGCACCATGAAGATGTCAAGTTGATGATCTTTATTTTTGCATTCTAGAATAAGCAAAAGCTACTAAAACTAAACACCATACGAAGAAAGGGTGAACCATATCATAGATAAGAATCTAGTACTGAGACAAATACATACCCATAATAATTTGTGAATTTTGTTATCATCAGCTTTTAGGTTGAGTTTATGCATACAAAAGTAGAAAATTTTTATTGAAAAAGAACAAATTCATTATATTAAAGTTGTTAAGTGCAATAAAAATTTGCTATTATTAGGGGCTTAAACTCAGCCCTGAGGTTAACCTTTTCTATAATTTATATAAGCTTGCAAAATATTCACGCTTGTTTTCCCAAAACCAAAAGAAAAACAGGAAACTTCAAATCAAAAACAATCACTGGAACTCGGAGGCACTGATAAAAAAAGGTACAAAAACAATGACCTGAGAATAGCTTCACAGATGAATCCATTTTCATAGAGCTTATCGAGCTTCATGGCGGGCATGGAAGCCACCATGTCCATGAAATTCTTCGCAATGATCCTAACCTCTGGCATTTTGATTCTGATGCAACCACCTCTTTATTCAACTTTTCTTTCTCTAATCGGATTCTGATTAAAGGGGTCTTTCTGCAGAACTTGATCAACCAAACTGAAAGGAAAAGAGTGTAACTTTACGAAAACCCATCACGAACAAGGCTTCATTTCATAATTGTAGAGCTTCAACGCCAAGCTAGAGACACTTTGCACAGTGAAATTGAAGAAAAACATGGATCCACTCAGAAGGGGCGAAAAGGGTCTTTTTGCAGGGTTTAAACCGGTTCGAACCAATGTAAAACCAGTAACAAGAACCGGTTCAGCGGTTTGGGTAAATCGTCAGAGTCGAGTTAGAAAGGCAGCAATGGCAGCTCTGGTTTTGTGGAGTTGGAGGACCAACACAACACAAACGCAAGGGAGAAGAAATTGCATCTCCTTAAATACTTTTAAATTACTTTAAAAAGGAATCTTTAAATATTTTTTATAATAAGTATTCTATAGTATTTTCAGTTTTTATTGTGTATAATAAAAAAAAAATCAAAGAGTTTGTAGAAACTAAAATGTTCTGTGTGAGGAAGTAGTCCGTATCAATTAAAAATATTTTTTTCAAGCTCTCATAAAATTAATAAAAATAAGTAATTTTTCTATAATAAGCTAAATTGAATGTCTTCTTAAACTTTTTATTGAAATTTTGCAAATGTTTTTCAAAATATACATGAAATATATAAAAATGGAAATTTTATAAATTCAATGTAATTAATATAAAAAATCAAATACTATAGAATGTTTAGTTTTAAGATATTTTAAAATTATTTTACTTGATAGAAAGACTATTTTAGGAATGATTTATAAATACCAATTTTTGCTGAATCAATTTAAATATTAATTAGAGAAATTAAAGATAGTAATAACCTCTTATGAATAATTAATTAAAAATATTAATTTGAATTGATATGAAAGCTCAAAACACATGTATCATAAAAAAAATGTTAATATTAATATTTAGAGTTAATTTTAAGTAATTATTGGAAACTCACATAAAGAAATGAATTCTGTCACCAAAATTTTCAAATACTCCCACTTATTTAATATTTTTTTGGATTTTATTCACATCATCTTGTAATAATAATAAATTCACATCTATTGTCAGAAATATCTCTTCCTTATCATCCTTGTAACCTTTATTTTAATGGCTTTAAAATATTTTTTATATTGACCCATGCTCATTGATGTTGAACATTAGTGTATCAATGTATAACACATCTTGAATATGAATATATCAACACAGACTTTAATGCGTTCTATTTTTTTTAAAATTTTATATTGAAAATTTAGTTTTTATAATTGTAATATTTATTTTATGATTGAAATACATCAATTTTTATGTTTTTACATAGCATATTTTAAATGTTACGGGTGCATAGGTGCAAGCTATGGAATACGTGTGCCGTGAAGTTGGAAGAGTATGCAGTGGAGTGCCTTGTATCAGTACGAGTATAACAAATAAAAAAAAATGTTGCTGCCCAGGATCGAACTGGGGACCTTTAGTTTGTAGGACTAACGAACACCACAGCAACGATATACTAAGAATTCGAGAGAACTTAAATTTTTATAGAAAGCAACAACTGTGAATTGAGGGAACAAAGAAAATTAAAAGTTTCATCCTTTAGAGCACCTTTAATGGATTTTCTTAACCAATTGCAAAAAAAAAAGTAATTTCTAACCATTAAGGGTAGACATTAGTCAATTTTACTTAGATTTAAACTTAAAAATGTAAAATTGATGTGAATCAAATATACTAATATTTTAGTCATTTTTTTATCATAAATTTAAATAGGTTATGAGAGTTGCGATTTTAACGAGTTTTTGAGGGGTTGAAGTTAAGAAGAAAGAGTGAAAGAAATCTTAACATGAGCCTTTAACTTTTCTCAAAAATCATTACTATCACTTAAAAAAACTTTTATAACTACTATCACCTACAACTTAACCACACATTACCAACCACACATCACCTATAAGGTGATAGCATTTTGGATGAGGGCAAAAACAAGCAAGGATGACATTGATGATGAGGTTATTGATGAAGACTTGTTAGACAATGCAAATATGTCATCAATAATAAAGACTTGTATCCAATCACCAAGGGGCAATACTGCATAGGCCCAACTCTGAGGGTAGTCTAGGAGTATGGTTGCCCATGGCCCAGGCCTAAAAGGGGCTCAAAGTAAAAATTATATTCTAATTTCATGTGAAAAAAAATTATGGCTCTTAATTGCAGTGTACAATAGAAAAATAATAGAAAAATTAAAAAAAAAATCCTCCAATTTCTCACACCTCACTTGCCATAAACGCAGTCAACTCCTTGACTTTTTCCTTGACTTTTTCATACTCAAATCTTCCTCTAATTTTCAAATTCTACTCTTCTTAATATTAAAGCTCGTGTAAAATTTTAGTTTTTTTCAAAAAAATTAAACGATTCTCAACATTAAACTTTCTCTATTTTCCCATGACCATGACAATGGGAAAAAAAATTTACAAAGTAAAATGGGTCAAATTTCATTTGAGAATACATCACTTATCAATTACAAATATCAATCAATTGAAGCTATCAATTTTACTTTATACTCGAGAGTCAAGAGTTTGAAATTCTAAAAATAAATTTTCTGGAGAATCTTGACAACAGTTTTGGCATTGTGGTTCTTTCTTTTGTTATCCTGCGTGGTTGTTTAGGCTGTGCCGAAGAATCAGTGTTACACCTACTAGCTGTCGGCCACCATAGTTGATATTTAAGAGTCTCATCTACAATTCAGCATTTTGCTAGAATCTAAAACTACCATTGTTGAAGTATTTTGTTCTCTTCCTCACTTTTCTTTCTTATAAGGTTTTTAATCTTAATTTAATGTATGACATGTATTTATGGGTTTTAATTAAAGTAGCCTTTCATTAGTTGTTCTGCATTCCTTAATTTTTTTTTATGAATTATAGTATATAGTATACTATTGTAAGTCTGTGATTTGGTTATGTGATTGAATTCTAAAGTTTAAAGTCTAATTGATGTCAACTCCCTAATTCTCTTTTTTATGCAGAATATTATACCACTGTAATTTAATGTCTGTTTCATTGAATTTCCTAATTGATTATTATAATTATGTTTTCATATTTATAGTGACTAGATTATACTTTTGGAATTAGTAAATGTGAAAGCAAACATTCAACTTGAATTCTTCTACCAAGTGCTATTGTTTTTTTTATATGATTGTATTGTCTAATTTATCTTTTATATGCAATATTGCCTAAAAATCATTTATTTGGAAGTGAAAAAAGAAAAAAAAAATGTGCTGAAGAGTTAAAAAAAATCACAGAAAGGTGCTATTGATAAATTTTTTTTTAGAAATATAGTTTCTCATGAAAATTTAGATCAATCAAATGAAAGTTTGTAAAATGAAGTAAATGAGAATGATGAAATTAATAATCCAAACGAGTCTAATGATGTGTCAAATGTATCTAATATTGAAAATCTTGGTCCTCTTAAAGAACAAACAATTTTTATTGATATTGGCATTGATAAAGAACAAACAATTCCTACTAATAATGACATTGATGAAAAACAAATAATTCCTTCTTTGGATATTTATAATCCTAAAAATTGGGTTAATCTTGATAACAAAATAAGGGACATTTTAGTTGAAAAGGGACCTCAATTTACGGTTAAGCCTAGGGCCCGAAAAGGTCAAAAACGAGCCTAGCAATGCATAAGCAAATTCAAGAAAGCGAAACTTGTTAGCTTGGTGTACCTTCTCTATTAATACCTCACATTGCATGCTAACAAAGATAAACTAGTCAAAATAACTAAAATGATAGAGTGACGCAAGGGAAAGAGTTTCTTTGTGTGACGCTTAAGACTTGTCCTTTCAAATTTAAAATAATCTTTTGTCCTTCCTCTAGCAAGACTAAGAAATTAAGGTTATGTATGATTTGACTATTTGATTGAAACTGAAGATCCAAAATTAAGTGTCAAGTAGGTTGGTGCAAGTTAATTCAATTTTAGCTTTTAGTTACATATAGGTTGGATCAGACGATTACGGTTGATTTTTTTTAACCAAGTTTATTTGACCCACCCGAATATTAACACTATATCTTTTTATCTCCATTAGAACTGGCTAGCCCATAACAAAATTTGTTCATAACCTAGCCCGACTTATATTACCCTAGTAGAAAAGGAAAGAAACCCTAATTAGAATCACTTATCTTTCTATGTCACTTTGATCCTGAAAACCTTCTCTTATGTTAGTTGTTGTCTTCTCTCTTGGACTTATGCAACTACACAGGCTATAACTAATGTTAGTCTATAACTAATGTTAGTATCTATGTATGACTTTGTAATTGTGTTTTCTTTTCTTTCCTTTTAAAATCTTCTATTCCTTTTCTTTCCTAGGGTTAGGTTTAGATTGGTCTTTATTAGAATTTGTTATTTTGCAACTGTGATTACCTAAATATGATTTAACTAATGATAATATTTGGATTAAACTGAGCCTAAATTTAACTTCTTCAGTTACTTTTAATTGAATTTATTTTGGTTTGAGTTGTCTGAACTTACCGTTGATCAATCTTTTATATGCGTAGTGGCTACACCCACCCACCCATCAGTTATAAAATTCAAGATTAAAGAGTATGGGTTAAAACATACACATGACCTTTGTCTCACTTTGAACACTTACAAAGATAAATAGTATAAGGTTGGGTTCAAACACTAACAAAGAAAAAAAATTATTTGTTCAAACTCAACCATAATAACCCATGAGTAACTTTTTTTAAACTAATATAAACCAAAAATCATATAAATTCGCTCAATTTTAAAAATAATTTTGATTTAAGCAAATTTAGCAAATACATTAAAATTTGCTCAACCCTACTTACAATAACTAAACTAATACAGTTACATGATGCATAGCAACAAAGTTTCTTGTACAAGAATATGTTGTATATGTAATATGTGAGCTTGAGAGGTTTATAAAATAGCTTATAGAATTTATTTAACGTATTTTATAAAGTTGCATTATTAGACGAAAAAATTGCTTAAAGTTGCATAAAAAGCCAATGTTGTAGGTCTCACAAAATAATTATAAACTAATCACTTAAGTAACTTACATAAATTGCACCATTAATAATGCTTTTATATGCTTGTTTGCAATTAAAATTTCTAAATACTATTTTGCAAGAGCTAGTCTACATGCACGGGGGTTTGAGGCCTATCAACAAGATTAATTTGTGAAGGATAAGTTTGACAAGTTTTTATAGAGAATATGTAAATAATTTTAATGTTACAAATGACTCTTAACCTATCAATGAATTCAATTTGTTATTAAAGTCATACGAAAAAGAAAACAAGTTAGAAAAATTAAAACTATTCAATATATGTTCTTTTGTATAATTTTAATCATGATGTGTTTCTTATTTTTATTAATTTTTATTTTATTTAAATTATTTATATTTTATAAGAGTTTAAGATATTTTAAAATAAAATTAAGTCTATTATTATTAAGAGCAAACTGAATTTATATTTAAATAAGTTACTAGTTGATTATGATAATGTTAAAAACTTTAATGTGCATTATTGTTGGATGAATAATAAAAAAATTTATATTCTTTATATCAGTGCAAGATATGTTTGATATTTCAATAACTAAAATAGTATCAAAATTTGCTTTTAATATTGATAAATATGTTCTTACCAAGTATTTAATTTCTACAAAGAATTGATTGCATAATTTGTTGAAAATTTAAGTGATATTATTTATTGTAATAATCCTTTATAATCATATATAATATTTTTAAATTATGTAACTTTCTTAATTTTATTTTTATTACTTTTGAATTTTAAATAAAAAAAATAAGCATTAATATAAAAACATTAAAGTATGATTTATAATAGATGGATAATAAGATTTACTTATATTAATATATTATATTTATAATTTCAAGTATATATGATTGATTTATATTTAGCTATGTTTATGTTTTATTTCATGAAATATTACTTTTTAGAAAGTATTATGATCAATATTAAAACTAGCAAGGAAGTGAAACATGAAGCCTTATATATTTTAGTTTTGCACTATTTTGTTTATTATGTCTATAATAATTTATATTTTATTATTTGTATCCCGAGATTAATCATATTAACCTATAGTTATATTTCTCTTCATATTTAACTTGTGAATAGAAGTCAAAGAGAGTTCAAAACTTGAATTGCTGTATCTATTTTGTGAATGCATGTTGATTCATGTAGACAAAAGAATAGTTTGAGTAGCCTTTTGGTTAAGTTGTTTCAATTGTTCAAGCTAGTGCTTCTCTTATTCATTTTTTTTTTTTTTGTAATTTTTACCATTAAAATTATAATATTTTTCATAAAGTCTTGACTCTAACTTTAGTTTTGTAGACTTTTTGGCCATAAAACTTTTAATTTAGTGAGCTTTTCTTGGTCTGCAGAATTTTTTAACCCAAACTCACATGAACTAGGGATAGAGTTGGGTAGTTGGGCTTTTTGAGAACTTTAGATTATTCTGCCTTGGAGTGAATAAGTGGGCTCTCGAACAGCTCAATGCTGATGGGGACAATAAAAATATCCCAATTCTTGTCACCATTGAACATGCTTGCCAGTTTCACACATTAATTTTTTTTATAACAAATATTATATCTTTTTATTAAAAATCGCAAATGTTGATAATATCAAATTTTAAGTATCATAGTTATTGTAACTGAAAAATAGGTATATAACTGTTATTTATAAATTCAGTTTAAATACTGTCACCCCAAGAAGTATTAAATAGATATGGAGAGAAAAAATATAAAAAGTGATGTTATAGAAAAAAAAGTGAAGTGAAATTGGATCTAAGAAAAATGAAATGCAAAGTAAAATTATCATTATATTTGTATGAAAAACATAAAGTCTTTATAATTTTAAGATTTTATGCTGGTAAAGTTAACTATTGTTAATATTATTAACTTCAATATAATAAATTTTTCTTTCATTTTAAAATTTTACATTTTAATTATTTTTATAGAAAAATTTTAAAATTTCAAAAGTCAACACTAATTAAATTGAATTTTTTTATATTAACATTTTTTTTTGTCTCGTAAAGTGTACCAATCTAAAAAGTACTTAAGTTAACCATCATCCTCAACTTTATTTCTCTTCTTTACTCAGAAGAATTTCTAATTAGAGTGAAAAAACAGTATCTTAAACTACTTATTTTTGAAATTAACTCTTTTTAAAACATTATTTTTTGGCCGTAGATCTAAGCTCCTTGTAGCTTTTTAACTTACATTAAAAAAGACCTTGCGAAATACTGAGGTAGGATAAGTTTCTAAGTGCAATTTCATTTGAAGGTCATTTCTCTAACCCAACCATGATATCTAGGATGCTGATGTTTGTACTAAGATGTCTATTTCTGAGTTTAGTAGGTGTATTCATAGAAACCACTGTTGTACAAGGCTCAAACAGATGTAAGTACCCTGCAATATTCAACTTTGGTGACTCAAACTCGGACACCGGAGCCATATCTGCTGCATTCACTGTGTTGCATCCTCCCAATGGCGAAAACTTCTTGGGAAGTCTCTCAGGAAGGGCTTGTGATGGCTGTCTCATCATTGATTTCATCAGTAAGCAAAACATTCTATTCACTATCTTTCTCAGCTTCACATATAATTGATATTCTATCTAATTTTTAAGCTAAATGGGTTTAGGGTCGTACTTGTTGATTATTTAACTATATATGTGTTTGTATCTCCATTTTGTGAGCCAATGCAGCTGAAGAATTGAAGCTACCTTACCTTAGTGCATATTTGAACTCAGTTGGGTCCAATTATAGGCATGGTGCAAACTTTGCAACAGGAGGCTCTTCAATTCTTCCTGGTGGTTATAGTCCTTTCCATCTTGGCCTTCAAATATCGCAGTTCATACAGTTCAAGTCCCGCACCAAGATTCTCTTCCACAAGCTCTCTCACAACAGTAGTTAGTTTCTCTTCCCCACCACATTTGCTTTCAAACCTCTTCCACTTGTTAGTGTGTTAGCTGTTAGGTTCTCTAACTAAGCGGTGTTTCAACTTGTGTCAGCATAGGGCTATTGAGAATTTAATTTTAATAAATGACTAAAATTGACTGCATTATTGAGAAACCCAGTTTGTCATAGCAAAATGGCTCATTCCTTTTGACAGCAACAACTCATCCTTTGTGATATTTCAGTAACAGAACTATCTTATAAAAGCAGTATTCCAAGACCTGATGACTTCTCTAGGGCCATATACACCTTTGATATTGGACAAAATGATCTTGCCTACGGTCTTCTGCACACTTCAGAGGAAAAAGTTCAGGAGTCCATTCCCAATATCTTGAAGCAGTTCTCCCAAGCAGTGCAGGTAAGCAAACAAAGGCCTTGTGAGAAAAATTAGATTACAAGTTTTGTAGAACTCAAAACTTATCATGTCTAATGTTTTATAGCAACTATACAATGAAGAAGCAAGAGTGTTCTGGATTCACAACACAGGTCCCATTGGGTGCTTGCCCTTCAATTTCCTTTCTTACAAGTCAAAGCAGGGTAACCTGGATGCCAATGGTTGTGTGAAGCCCCAGAATGAGATTGCTGAGGAATTTAATAGGCAACTCAAGGACCAAGTATTTGAGCTAAGGAAAAAGCTCCCTCTAGCCAAGCTCACTTATGTTGATATGTATAGAGCCAAATATCAACTTGTCAGTAATGCAAAGAAGCTAGGTGATGTTCAAGTCTTGTGCATAAGTGGATTGCAGTGGCTAGTCACTATTAGAATTAACTTTCATGTACGCTTTTTGACAGGTTTTGTCAACCCTTTGAAGTTCTGTTGTGGCAGTTACCACGGTTATCAGATAACTTGTGGGAAGAAAAGCACATTAAATGAAACAGTTTACGGTAATGCATGTAAAAATTCATCTCAACTTGTGAGCTGGGACGGCATACACTACTCTGAAGCTGCAAACCGTTTGATTGCTAAAGGAATTCTTCGTGGAGACTTCTCCGACAAACCAGTTACTATTGGCCAGGCCTGTTTCTGAACACTGCATTTTCGATATGATATTTCAATAAGGGAATTAAGGGGTTTATTACTTTAAGAGAGAAAATAAAATATCATAGATTATGTTCTTGTTGGCCTCTCAAGTCTTTCTTTTCTTTTATTACCTTAAAACAATTTTAAAATAAGAACCTTTTGCTCATATATCCTTTTATATGTCACTAACCCAACAACAACTTGAGACTTTATATCTTAACATTTGTAGTTCCGAATTTTCTGGTTACTGTAATCGCAGAGCTGCCGTAGAAGATTTGAAAATATGGGTTACACCGTTCGTACGATATATGGTTGCATCTCAAATGTGAGAAGACACACCTGAATTAGTTTTACAAATAATATTCATTTCTTTGCATATAAAATTGAATTTCACCATTTATAAAATTAGTTAAATACGAATGAGAGAGAGAGTACTTCCTCTGTTTTAAGGACAACTCCATTCATAAATGAAACCTCCTTACATTTTTATTGTTTTTCCTCCAAATTTCTAAACAACGTGCAAACTGGCTATGGCCTATGTGTTTTATATATCTGCAGGTGCAGGTATAAATCATGGAACCTATAATGAATTTCTTAACATGTATCTTTAAGCAACATTAAAAGATTTGTATTTTTATTTAAAGAATTATAATATTAAAATATAAAAATTATCATATCTACAGTTTAGACTGCAGTGCTTTTCTTCGTTTTTTCTTAATCATCATTTTTTTATGATCAAGAGAACACAACTTTGGATGTAACGAACATGATTTTACAAATTTTTTCTGGCCAGTGTGCAGAGAAGCTGCTTTAATCAAAACTCCTTTTGATGTAGTCAAGACTAGATGACAGACACAGGTTAATAAAAAGTAGTAACACAATATTTAAGTTTGGCATGAACAAGACTTTTTTCATTATAAGAAAAGAAGATCATAGAGATCAATAATAAAAAATAAATTGTGTTAAGAGTTATAAAGCAAGGCTCTACGTTATAACTTGAAAATTTAAATTAATATATTGTTATGTTGTAAAGCTACTTGACTATTCAAATAAAGAGACATTGCTTGTCTTTCGTCTTAATGCGGTAGTTCTCAATGTTAATAATGTAAGAAAGTTAGTACGAGAAGCAACTATACTTTTACTTATATGCTAAAAATTGTGTGTATTTTTGCTACATGAAGACCCTACATTGGCAATTAGATTGAAAGGTTGTGATCAATTTAAACTTAACATCATGTAAATGAAAAAATGAGATAGATAGTGTAAGAAAAATCAGTTTTGATTTCACTATTATAAGACAGAATATGGTGCATCTTTTATTGAATTAATATAATTAGTTTTTTTAAAAGAACAAAAAGAGAAAGCTTTGTTCAACCAAAAACGTTTTTCTTTTCCTCTATTATATAATATAATAACGAGTTTAATTAATTTATTTACGGGTACCATAAAAAAAGTGAAGATCAAGCTTCTTGTGGGCTGCGATGGTAGTTTTTAACCAATCATAAACTTTCGATATAGTTAATTAATACTGTATTTCTTGTTAGTGTTTATGCATAAAAGATTATGTCTAAATTTACCCTAAGTAACATTTGAACATTAATTTACTAACTTGTTTACTTATATAATTTGTACTTGAAATAATTAAGTACTTACATGTTACATAAATGTTTGGATTAATTTTACTTTTATCTTTAAAAACTTGATAATAAGATATTAGAATCAAATGTATTAGAACAAGACATGAAATTAAGGAAGTAAACGAGTAAAATAGCAAAAATCAGTAAGTTAAAATTAGTGTCAATTTTAATTGGTACAATAATAGCCACCAATTAACGCGGAACATGTTGAAGATTCAACGGTTGCTTATAACCTTTACTAACTAAATCTCACTTTTTTTAAGTAATGCCATAGCAAAGTACCAAAGCATATATATATACGTATATAGTTAGAATTCGTTAATAGCAGTGTTTAAGACGACACTTTCTTAAATTAAATAAAATAATTTATTAATATTGTTATAAATTTATTTTCAATCAATACTTTAAATTTTTTAGATGTAAAACTATATATTAAATTACCATAATTAATATTTATGTTTACACTAGTCCTTTAATCTATTCTAATATTTAAATATTAAATAATTAAATCTTAATATTTTAACCAACCAATAACTAAGAGCTGATTAAAAATTATTTTAGAAATTTAGTCCTTATTTAAGTGAGTTCTTAATAATTTTCCAAGAATTTTAGTGTTAACAAAAGTACATTTTCCACTGACATGCAACGCAAGTTTGAAAATATTTTGCCCAAGATCTTTTCACAGCACGTCAGAACAAAAAGCAACCCCAATCACAGACTGAGAGCAATGATCTTAGTCTTACTTTCTACGATCTGCCGAAAGAAAGATGTAGAATTCACTTTCTTCTTTTAACAACACTCTTATAAGGAAACTTTAAGCATCCTCCTGAGGTGGGATTTAACACCATCCTTACATAATTACCTCGTTCTTTTACATCTCAAAATAGGTAATATAATAGATTAACTTAAATCTTACACACAAAGGAATTCAAAATTACGGTAAATGTCGTCATATAAGTGATTTGTAAACAAAAAACTTGAAGAAAATGGAAAACCGAGTGATAGAATCAATAAACCAATAGAAATCTGGCAAATAGTAACTAATACTAGTAAGAGAGTATTCTTGCGAAAGCCCAATTAATATTAAAAGTGCCACGGCACCACTTCATCTAATAGTGATTCAAATCTCTATATCGATACATAAATTACAGATGCTAACATGTTTTAAAAATCTAAAATGATTACATAGATATAGGTTGCAAGAAAAGGCTACATAGGAGAAGCACTTAAGAGATTCCGTTAAATACATTCATCCATTCACGATGAAAAGTAAAGTTTTGTTCCTCAAGAGATTCACACTTACATGACAAGAACCCAATGTGCAAATCTCTTGTTAATAAGTAATTCGATCTGTACAGGGATATACAAATGAGCTAGCTACTAGATACAATTTATCATCTCAACTTCACCACCAACCCACAATAACACAGGGCTGGATCTTCAGGCAGAAGTGGGAAGCAAGTGCTGCAACTCTATATATGATGATATAAACTAAATTTGCCGACTCGGGTTCGGACTTTTATGTGACTAACTTGAAGTGGAAGGGAATGACTATCCATCAAAGACAACAACAGCATACATTAAAATCTGTCTGTTGCATTCACTTACCTTATGTGAGAGTCATACGCGTCAAAAAGGGAGTCTGGAACAATCAGAGGCAACTTATCTATGTACATGAAAAGCCTCCTAAGATTATCCCTTGTAACTGTTGCCATATCCACCACATCCCTCCTATCAGTGAATACCCAGAGATCGCATGAGTTCACTCTCTTCAGACTGTCACGGCAAAATGGGCATGACTGCGATATTGTTCGCCTGCAAAACATATCAAATCATTTCAACCTTCAATTTAAACCAAGAAAATACTTTGTTTTGGAGCATGTGCTGGGAGGTATGAAACAGCAACATAAAATTTCGTATACTATGATAATAAAATGCACTGTAGTGGGTGGGGCTATAAAGCTATCGTTAATGGTGAGGTTCAAGAAAGGGTAAGGCCCACTTAAAGTTGGCAGCCTTATGTTGGTTTTGCAAGAGGCTAATTCCATGACTCAAAACTCTGACCTCTGGATCACTTGTAAACAACTCATAACAGTTGTATCAGACACCAACAGGGGTTGCTCAGGATCAAATAGCATTGACCAAAAGGTCTTGAATTCAAATCCTCTACGTGATCCTTTAAAGGTATGTCCTTTGTAAGTATCACTGCAAGCCCTCAGCCCAACTAGCTGTAGCTAATAGGCGAATTAGCTAAAAGAGACATGAGAACAGACTGTTGGAAGTGTTGGTTCATCAAGAACCTGAAAATAAGTCTTCTATCCAGTTAGAAATGCATGACTAAAGTGAAACAATGAATAGTCAAACAATGGGAGCCAAAAAAACATGCCTTTTTCTTCCATCGGTAAAAAATTGATGTGCCACACAGTCATCCCCAATTACACAGTTCATGATCAATCCCTTCAACCAAAATCAATCTAATAATTAAAAGGCAGCAGTCTGGCTTCATAGCCTAATACCTCCCTTCTCATTCACTTCCATTTAACACATCAAGCTGCAAAGAACCCATAACAGTTCCACAGGAGAACAGTGATACAAATTTTCTTTCTAGTCACTTCATTACTATAGTAGTAGTAGTACAGTAATTAAACCCTACTCCATTTCTCTAAGTTAAGAAGACCCTTTATGCTTGCACATTCCTCACATATAAAAACAATAGACTTCATAAAAGGGCAGAGGGCAACCATGAATACTGGATTGAATCAGGAGACATGCAAGATACATCCTCTTCTAGCAACTACTTACGCTTGCCATATTAGATCCAATCAATTTCTTAACATCAATTATTGCCATATTCACATTCAAGCAGCAATAACATCAAGCGACAACCCATACCTTCATATGCATGGTGCTTATGTTGTTGCAATCACACTGCAATCAAGCACAGGATTCCAAAAACAGTACACTTACACTGAGACTCGTAATTTCTAGTTTCTACTACTTACAACCTCTGTCATGGCAAAAGACATTTTACTTTACAAGGTCACAAACAGTTATGACCCAAACAGACCGAACAAGCCCAAAACCTACAAGAACCCAAGAAGGCTCAATGGATTACATTTTACTATTACGGAAATACTATAGTCATTCTATGGTGCATGAAATAAGCAATGACTGTTGGAGATTGGAGAAACATAAGAGATTATTGCTAGAGAAACAAAAAGAATCAAACCAACAACTCAAACAACCCCACATCTTCTTGCTTTTAAAAGAATATGGAGTGTCATACAATAACAGAGAGAGAGAGAGAGAGAGAGAGAGAGTTTGTGAGGTGAAGTACCATTCTCGGTAACATGTCAGGCACATGGCATGATTGCAGTTGGGTAACACAATCTTACTATTCATGTCCATGCATATTCCACATTCATCTTCTCTTTCAATGTCTATGTCAGAAGATTGCCTATACTCATCATCATCTCTTCTACGATACCTCTCCATGCATACGGCCTTTTGCTTTTTATCCTCAGTATCAGTGACACCCTTTTGAAGTTGCAACAGAGAAGGGTAAATGACCGCTGCTCAAAGCAGAAATTCAGTATGTCAGCAACAATCAAAACTAAAATGCAAAGTACCATGTAGTAGGTTAAAAAACAAGGGCAGATATACCATAGAATTCCCTAATACTTGCTTTTCTTTCATGTGTAGACATGGTGGTTGTCCCATCCACATACACCTACAACATGAGGCAAAATTTTCATCCTGTCCAAGTCCCTCATTTCAATATGTACACCTAAAAACCAAAACAACTTACCTTGTAAATAAGGATTCTTAACAGTCCAAGGGCCCCAGCAAGATGACAATCTGTCCATTGCACCAAAAAAAGAAACAGGTGTGCAGCTGGACTGTATGACATTCTCATCTGAAGGCTTGCGCCATCATATTCCCTTGGAAAATCTGAGGCCCTACAAATCCCAATAAATTAATTAGCATAATTATATTTCACATATTTACAAAGAATTATTATCATTGCAATATTTACAGACGACACCATTCCGATTTCTGCAGTGTAGCTTGCTTCTATAAAGACAATTTCACTACAGGCACAACACAAACACTAACTTTCACCGAACCATTGGAAAGCAACAACATGTAGCCTGTCACTTTAGCAGGAGATAGATACAACACAATAACATTCAGAGACTAAGAAGTAGCAATTTAACATCAAAATCATCATACTATGCAACGATTACTCAGAGAACTCAACCCCAATAAACGATTTGACAATTCCACACACACAAACTTTCCCAGACCAAAGAAGGAGACAGAGAGTGAGAGAAAAGGAATACATAGCGGATAATCAACACTAAAAAATCATTTTAACCATAATTTGTCAGTAATATTAAATGCACCCTATTTATGAAGGAACAAAAACAAACACGTGAAAAGAAAATTCACAGGCTAAACCCCATAAAATCATCATACCCAGAACAAACTCGTTCAGCAATCACCAACCAACCCCCCCCCCCCCCCCCAAAAAAAAAAAAATATTTTTTTCTAAAAACATTTAAAAAAAGGAAGGTTAACAGCCATTGACATGCCACCAACCTTTTAGGAACAGTGATCACACTCACATTAAAATGAAAAATTTAAGAAAGGAAGGATCATGAAAGTGAAAAAAAAAAAAACCCAGAAAACTCACAGGGTATTAGCGTGCTGGATATCAGCTTCAAGGACTTTCAGAGAGTCCTTGAAAGACTTGCGCATGGAAGCAACGTACATCTCACCCACTCAAAGGATCACAACCCAAACCACGAAAAAAGCAAACTTTTTTTTATCAATGGAAGAAGAAGAAGAAGAGATAATTTGTTTGGCTAATGAACCCTCAAATCACTGAGCTATATTTCTCGCTCTAGTTTCTCTCTCTATCTCTGAGACACTGAGAAGGAAGAGTGAAGAGAGAGAAAGAGAGTGCTTCGAGTTGCTTCTATGCTGTTCTTGAAAGCCAAGACGGTGAGGTGGTCAGGACACGTGTACGCACCAAAAGCGTCGCCCTCCATTATTAATAAATTCATAATTAATACTAATAAATACTACTACTTAGTACTTTTATCTACTAATTAAGTTATCGAATATCCTAAGACTACTAATAAAAAAATTTAGGAGTATAATTTTGAAAATTTGCCTATTCCCACGCATATATTTCTTTTTATTTAATCTTTTATTAAAAATCTCTCACCGCTGATATAATTAGAAGAGAAAAAAATTATTTTGTGATAATAAATATATTTTTAATTTTGACATATAGTTGATGTAAAAAATTTTATACCATCAATTAATTTTTAACTTTTGTTTGATTATAGCTTAAGATTAAACAATTAAGAAATAATTATTAAAAATGAAATAAAAGATTACTAAATATTGCATTTTAAATCAAATAAATTATTAAAAAAGTCATGAATGGTAGTTAAAAGTAAAAATACATAAAATATTATTTTGATGATGGAAATAGTTGAAATTATTATTAATATGTTAAAAATAGTGAATGATTAGTATATTGACGAGTGCTTAAGTGCGGTTTGAAGCAAAAGGTGTAATTTAATGTAGAAATGTGAAATGGAGAAAGAAAGGAGTGAATAAAGTTGGAGAAATGGGAGTGTGCGATGTGATGAATGAAAGAGGCTCTTATCCAAAATTGCACGCTCTTTTTCTCTCTCTTTCATTGTTTCCCACTTTACCTTTCATGCCTTTGGTAGCTTTGCCCACGCACTCTGTGTTCGTCGTTACTCCTTCTGCTTTTTCATTTTTAATAGGACACACCCAACCTTTTCAATTATTCAACTAATCTAATCTAATCTATTTATTTTACACTTCTATTATTTTATAAAATTATCAAATTTACCTAATCTTCCTTTTTCTTTAAATAATTTTACAATAATTTTAAAGTTTACTTTATTTTAAAATAATAAAAAATATATTAAGCATTATAAGTCTTATTATATGTAAATGAATATATCTTTTTCCATTCAAAATGTTATCTACATGATTATTTGGAATATTTTGTTGAAGGATTCTTTTTACTAATTTCTGAAAAGCATTAATAAAAATAAAAATAACTGTTTTATAGAAAATATATTCAATGTATTAAACATAATAAAGAAATATTTATTATTAATAATTTTTAATAAAAAAAACTTTTACTTTTAATTCTTTAATCAATACGTGTTGAAAGGAAAACATTTTTTCTTTTTTAAACAATGCTGGGGTTGCAAACAAGTGGAGAATTAATAATTGAGTTACATAATTTAAATTATTCTCTTTAAAAAAAAAAGAAGTTTGTTTTTGAATTTAATTAAAATGCATTGATAGAAAATACATTTTTTATATTATTATTTACAAATTTTGGTATTAATTTTTATAATAATTAATTAAAGGCAATAGGATATAAAATAAGGACCAGAGCACGAGCTATATATATATAATCGAATTACAAAGATCTAATTATATCGAACTTTTTGTCTTCCCAATCGAAACATTATCAATATCTGTTAAGCAAAGACAAGTTTAAAAGTTGTAGTATTAATAAGGTATGATTCCAGTACAATAATTTTCTTTTGAGATTGTCATTATTTCTCCAAAGATGATACTTTAATTGAATATAGTACTTTCCTCGATTATAACGTAAAATGTTAATTTTGCTTGATTGTAATATATTAATTTGATGTTAGCAAAGTCTAATTCAATTGATAAATAAGTAGATTCTTTAAGTATATTATAAAAAAATTTAATTATTTGTTGTGTGTATACAAAACTATTTTATTAAAAAACATTTTACTGGTTTTGCAAAATTTTTCACATCTGAAAAGAATAAATTTGATTGAGGAAAACCTTTAATACACACTGAAAGAAGTTTCTACCTAATACTCATTTGATGATTGAAATATATAGTTGACTTTTAATTTTTATATTAAAATATATTTAAGATAAATAATCTTGTGTAAATTATTGCCTTAACAAGAAAAAACGTCGACTAAAGTCATTAATGAACCTATAACTCCATCATCATCATTTTAAGGATATTTTTGGAAATAGTTAATTTTAAAAAATTATTTAAAATTATATTTAATTTGATATTTTCTCCTAAATTAGTAAAAAAGAAAAGAAGTTAAGTAAAATATTTTAAATATTAAAATAATATGATAATGTGAGAAACTTGTACTTGATCAATCTTCCATTGCACTGCATAATTCTAATTTTCATCTAAATATTTGCGCTTCCAATATAAATGAACAAATTAACTAAGCCATTTCAATGATTGAATCGTTCATTTAAGTTTACTACTTTTGTTACTTTTTAAGTTTTTATTTTCTATTTAAAGTTATTTTACACAATTTAAAAAAATAATTTAAATAAACTGAAGTATAAAAATAAATTTTTATATTATCATTTAGTCATAGATTTTCATATCAGAAAAAGCAGTTAATTTTTTATAATAATTAATATAAAATTTATATTTATCATATATTTAATTATTTTATAATGTAATTTTTTAATAAAAACAGTAAATTAAAATTAAAATTTTAAAAATAGTTAATTAATGTCTTAATTTATATAATTTTCAATTTTATCATTTGTTTCTTTAATCCATTAACTTCTTTTTATCCATTAATCATATTCATTCATCCTCAATATTAAATATAAAATACTCTTTTTGTTATTTTTATCAAAATATAATCTTATAATTTATTATTTCAATATATTAAATTTATTGTTTTAGAATTATTTTAACATACTAAGTTGTCAATATATATCATATGATTCTCTGACATCAAGTGCCTTAGTTTCGTTAATTTTTTAAAATTTTCTCGAATACTATTTATTAAAGATAATAATCCTAAACTTTTTATATCTACAAATATGAAATTCATGAACTTGAATTTCAGCACACTATATCAAATTAACAGCACAACTAAACACAAGACAACAACAATTGTAAACAAATGTAGGAGCAAGCAACGTAGCTATAATTAATATATTTCAGTTACAAATTAACGGTTACTCGATGCTAATAATTTAATTTATCCCCTTTAAATTAAATACAGGTAACATCGTGGAAGACAAAGTGAGAGTAGGTACCTATGACTTTTAATAAAACTATCCTACTGGGAGGGTAACCGACATTAATCAATTACTCGAAAAGAAGAAAGAATATTCATAATACAGTGCTACTTAGGTACGTAGTTTATCACCATTTTTCTTAGCTATTTTTAAATGCTTCCATTTCATGTATAAATGTCCACGAATAACAGCTACGTATGCAATAATGGACGACATGATTGAGCCAAACATATGAATTTAAAATAAATAAATAAAATATATTTGTATATACACATGAAGATGAATAAAGATTAAAAAAGAAATTTTTTACCATGAAAATAATATATTTAAAAAAACTATTATCATTTATTTAAAATACAACTCTTTAAAATTTAAAATTGAGTAAATGTTATATATAAAAGATAATAAAATTAAGATTTTTTAAAAATATAATAAAGATTTAATTGTATTTTGTGTCCTTTTAGTTAGACTTATGTGTGATTTTAGTTTTTCTTGTTTTTATCAAGTTAATTAACTATCTCTATTTTTAAAATTATACAAGATTAGTCCCTTTATTGATTTTATTCTACTTAAAATCTTCACATTATTATTATTGTCCAAATATTTAAGAAATTGCTGATAAATTTATGGTTTAAATAAGCTCTTAATCCTTATAAAAGCTACTACATTTGAAATTAGTCTTTAAAAAACACTTGAAAGACTTTTATCCTAATTAGTACAAAATGTTTAAAAAATTAAATAAATATTTAAGTATTTTTTTACCTATAAAAGTTATTAGGTCTAAATTAGGCCATACAAGATTTTTTTTTAATTTAAGATTTAATCTCAGAAAAAGCAAGTGAGTAAAAAATTAACTTTTATTGTTGAGACATCTGTCAAGTAAGTGTTTGGCCGACTATCAAAATTTTAACTTAACATTACCTTATGTCAAGCTATATAATATTATCTTATATAATACACTATTATCCTACTTAATATATTATTAGTCTAGATATCAACTCAGTATTAGCACTTTGTCTTTATTAATTTATTTTTTTTATGAACTCATTTTCTTTACACAACTCAACTCCAAACTCTCCTAATAAGGAAATCTCATATCAACAAATCTTTTACATGTTAATACATGCTCATTAGATTTGTATCTTGTAACAATTATATATTGGTTATAACAATATTAAGTATTTGATATGTGGCAATGCTAAATTAAATATTTGTTAGCTAACTAAACACTTAATTAATAGAAGTTTAAATAAAAATTGTTTTCTTTTACTTGTTAAATTTTTTAGACGCTAATTTCAAACACTAACTTTTATTAGAGCCAAAAATTGATTTAAATTTATATTTTAAAAATATCTTGTATTGGCTAGGATTAAATTCTATCATGTGTTAGATACATGGTAGTGCTAAGTTGAATTTTTTTAGTTCGTCATTTCATCACTCAACTAATACAAAGTTAATAATAAGAATTAATTTGTTATTCGTTTAATTTATTATTTAGTAAATTCTTAAGAATCAATTACAAATGTAACAAATTTTATTGAAACTAAAAAATCATTATATGAAATACTTTTAAATATTAAAAATAAAAAATAGTAAAATTTTGATAAGATTTTAAAAAAAATTAACATGTCAGATTAAGGTTTGATCAAGGAAAGAACAATTTTTAATAAAAAAATTACTAAATTTTGATGTTTGAATTGGTGTATTTTGAGAAAAAAAAATTGAAGCTTTAAATATTAAAATTTTGAGTAAATAAAATTGAGAATCTAACGGCCCATTTAGTGAAGATGATAGGATAAAAAATGATAAAATATAAAAACAAATTATGATAAAAGAAAG